GTGATTAGAAAATATTACGTGCTCCAATGTGACTGGTCATGATTCGTATAGATGTAAAGGAGGTAGTTCAGAATAGAATCCGCAAAAAGGTTTATTAAGTTAGTTGCTCTATGAAACCATTCTTAAGTTGCAAGATGATAATTGCTCAGCAGTCCGTCTCATTAACTACTGTTTGTTTTGCTCCATCGCTGTATCTGATCATCCATTTCTCTTGAGAAATTTACACCATTGTCATTTTTGTTCCATTTTTGAGGTTAGATTCTCTCTTTTCGTATTTTATACTTTAGGATTTTTATTAGTTCCTCTATACCATTTTGTTAATTTTGACTATTAACTGTATGGTGTCTTTCAGTTTGAATTGTTTGTAGTCTTTTGGCTTCAAGTAATAATACTCTCCCAAAAGATTCATACATATTCTCTTTTAGCTGACAGCTTACTTTTGCTTTACGCAATTTGTCTTTCAGCATACATTACCTATATAAAAAGAACTTAATAAAAATACAAGCAAACGAATAATTGACTCGGATAATCATTGAATCATTTAAATCGACAAAATAAAAGAAAAATCGATCAATCGTTTGAATGTTTCGATCTGTTACTTTTAGTTATTTCATTTAGATCGGTGTTTCCCAACACAGGGCCCACGCCCCACAGGGAAGCAATTTGATAGTTATGGGGGGGGGGAGGGGGCATTTAAAAAATGGACTCGAAGCGATTTTAACCCTCTTGCTCCAGGCCATTTAAATGCAATGCTACGAGTAAATATCGGTGACAAATTTAACAAAAAAAGTAAATTAAAAAAAATGCTGTAAAAATTTATTAGGTACAATTTCGTTTGACGTTACAAATATATCAACTGGGCGATTAGAGTCGTCAAGTAAACTTTGTCCGGAAAAGTTATATATGGGGGCATAAAAATTTTAGTAATGTCCAAGTGGGGTATGGTACAAAAAATGTTAGGAAACACTGATTTAGACAGTGTTTGATGAATTCCGACAAATCTTGTCCTGTACAGTGGTATCATCCTTCAATCATCTTCCTTTATTATTCATTCAATAATTTCTTCAAAGCTTTCCTTCCTCCACGCCACGATCACATTGCACGACACTAATTACAATTATATGTCACAAATAATGTAATACAATTGTAAACAATGCAAGCGGACCGATGATCCAAGTGGTGCCAATAATTGGTCCGCGTAATAATTGTACGTGGGCACGATACAATCAGTGAATGTTTTCCTGCACTTCGCTCTAATGACTGTAGCATTTTATAATTTATATACACCGCCACTGGCACGACTAATAACAGTAACACATACGTGTCTGTTTACATTTTAGTTTACCTTACTCGTACATGTGTGAGGTGCATGTGAAGATAAGTTTTATGTCCCTAGATTTCAATCGTGGTTATAAGGGCGTATGTTCTTTTTTGCTTCCATTGTATCAGTCTATTTTATTAACAAACTTGTGACTAATTTTCATTTCTATTAGTTTTTTTTTTATTAAACTTACATTTACAAAATCCTTTGTTTTGACTATCAGTACATAGTCAAAATGACTGAGTTTAGAAAGCTGAACTACAAAGGGGATATGCGATACCATGCCTGCAAAGCTGCGGGCAGCAGCCAGTTATGTTATTTGTACTTTGCAAATACAAGTATTTTGTAGAGGGAAAAAATGGATTGAAATGCGTCTGTCCGGTTGAGAGGTCAAATAAAACAGACGCACATAAAGCAAATGATAAAAGCATTAAATACGTCTTGTTAACTGTCTGAAGTCAACATGTTTCTTTCTTTCAAATTTGATGGAAAAATGTAGCCACAAAGTTGCAAAGTAATTAATTTTCTTAAATTTTCCAAGTTTTCGAAACAAATGTTGTTTTACAAGCGTTATTTATTGTTTGTTGTCGTTGCACCGGGCGTCGAACTCTATAATTGTCCATTCAGACATATCCGCTAATAACTTGCCTCGACGAAAGCATGCACTGTCGGAAAGTGGAGGTATTTGGGTCAATAACATAGCTGGGGAGCTGCTAAATTTAGTTTCCAATCTCAAGATTAAAAGTATGTGTACGGAGTAAGATGTAGCGATATAGTTACAGTAAACTTTACCAGAGGGAGACTTTGTACAAAAGTCGTTTGCTTGTGCACCTCTGTCCCATTCGTGTTTCTACCGTGAAGCAGTTGTGTTTGCATGACAGTGTTTCGGTTTGAAAGGTGGGATATGGCAGTGAATTTACATGGTATAGAGGAACCTGAGTCCTCAGGAATGGCAACCCATGGGAGGTATCATGGACGAAACAGTATACTTTGTTATGTTTATGATACTGTTCATGTCTATAGGCAACGGTTACCACTTTCCATCAGGAGGGCCGTCCGATTTTGCAATTTCACATTGAATAAAACTTAATTTCCATACCTCATTCTTTAAAATCTAAACACAACTGTATTGGGAGGGAAAGGGATTGTTAGTAATGGAGACTGAGAATCCCATTGCTAGCAATATACCCAACCGTGTCGATCTCCTCGCGGTTCCCCCTGGAAACTATCATGGTTAATTCATGATGAATTCATCATGATGGGCTAAACTGGCCTGTTTTCATTCTCATATATCACCCTTCACTGGTGCTCCGCCAGCGTATCCCGTTAGCGCAGGTGGGGTTACTATACCATTTTCACCCATAAAAACAAAAAACTATTGTATTGGCAACCTAATATACTTAATAGAGACAACAAAAGGGGCTTAATAGGGGCAAAGAATACCCAAAGGTTGTTTCGAAAAGATTGCTTTAGCGATGTGACCGCCTTTTGTACTTCATAAGTACAAATAAGTATAATATTGCAGTATAATAGTACAAATAAGTATAACACTAGCTGGCTCGGCAATCGTTGTTTTACCATATACATTATTTCGAGAACTATACATGAAAATTTATTATACTACAATTATTATATTCGATCGCCATCTTGCAACCCTATTGCGGAATATAAAAATGGCGATTAAAAAACAGGAGTTGGTTGTAAAAGCGTGAAAATTTGAAGTTGTATGTATTTTTCAATGCTAAATCATAGTAAGATAAAAAAAAAATTGTCGAAAAATAATAAAAAAAATTAGGGGTGGGTCATCCTTATCATTGAGGGGTATGAAAAATAGATGTTGGCCGATTCTCAGACCTATTCAATATACACACAAAATTAGATAAAAATCGGTGAAGCCGTTTATCAGTCGTATGTTTGATTGTAAATCGTTTACGGTTACGGCGAACGAGTCCGATACGCTATTGGTTTTTCCCATTCAATCTCATTGATTACGTTTCATTCCCATTCAGATATATATTTATATACGTATATATATATATATATATATATATATATATATATATATTTGTATATGTTTATCATTCATTCGATTAAATGTTGTTAAATTACTATGATAAATAATTGAATACATTTAGTGCATATATGTGTTTTTAATATATACAAAGATATAATATATATATATATATATATATATATATATATATATATATATATATATATATATATATATATAATTGCCTACCCTAATGGGAGACAGGCGTAACAGATATGTATGTATGTATGTATGATAAATAATTGATGTATTTCGACAAGTATGTAGATTAAATCATAGTAGACATACGAGTATTTATATTGTTTACTGTGATATCTCTTTTAAATGAATAATGTAAATGACTGGGTATCAGTAAGAGATTTTTTTTAATGAGTGATAATGGTATGGTAACCCCACTTGCGCTATCGGTATACACCGGCGGGGCACTAGTATGGGATGATAGGTGAGGATGAAAAGGCAAGTCAGTTAGCCCATCGTGACGAATTCAACGATAAATTAGTCATGGTGGTTTCCAGAGGAAACCGCGTGGCGGTCGACCTGACAGAGTATATTGATAGCAATAGGAGCTAGCCTCCCCATTTTATACAATCTTTTCTCTCCTTCTGTGAATATGAAGTCAGGTCAGTAAGCCTATATAAGTGCACCAGAAATTAACCATGATGGTTTGGGGGAAAAGGGATTGTTAGTAATGGAGACTGAGAATCCCATTGCTAGTAATATACCCAACCAGGTCGATCTCCTCGCGGTTCCCCCTAGAAACTATCATCGTTGATTCCTGAAGAATTCATCATGACGGGCTAACTGGCCTGTTTTCATTCTCATCTATCACCCTTCACTGGTGCTCCGCCAGCGTATCCCGATAGCGCAGGCGGGGTTACCATACCATTTTCACCCATCGAAAAAAAAAAAAGAAAAAAACCATGATGGTTTCCAGGGGAGCTCACGTGGAGGACTGGTAGGGTACATTAGTCCCCATTAGTAATAATAATACGATGATACTCATGATGATGATGATGATCAGTTGTTGAATATATCTTTGTATATATTAAAAACACATATATGCACTAAATTTATTTATTTATAGGATCACCAACATGAGATACAGCGAAGCGTTCCCATACAAAACACTAGTGGATCAGGTCTAACTGTTCTTACATTTAAAATTAAATTAAATTATTAAATGATATTAAATTAATATAGATATTAATAAAATACATATATAATGGAATTTATGATTAAATTATTTCAATTAAACACATATTTAGTAATTGATTTATTTAATACACTAGATACTGGAATATTTCCATTACCCGCCATAAACTAAAATTTCATCCCAACCGTCTGGACGAATGGCGGTCCTCCACCGTGCGTTTTTCAAGGCACTTTCTCCCACGCACAATCACTCTTTGGAATCAACTTCCAGCAGCAGTATTTCCGAACCGATACGACAACATAGCCTTCAAGAAAAGAGCATATTCCCTTTTAAAAGGCCGGCAGCACACCTGCAATACCATTTGTGTTGTGGGTGACCATGGGCAACGGTAGTCACTTACCATCAAGTGAGCCGCATGCCCGTTTGCCCCCTGTGTTGTAAAAAAAAATTAATTGTATTTTTTTTTCGAACAGATTCCGGTACGAATGCGAGGGCCGGTCAGCTGGTTCGATCCCGGGTGTGAACAGCACGCCCGAGAACCGGACGTACCCAACGATTAAGATCTGCGGCTATCGAGGACGGGTGGTCATCGTTGTCTCCTGCGTTACCAAGGAGGAGCCCTACAAGTGAGATTTTTGTTCATCATATCAGCCGTTAAATGTTCATTGCTGAACATATGCCTTCTTTTGACATGCGGGTTGGCAGTTACAGTTAGTTTTAAATAAGGTGACCAACTATTTTTTGTTCAAAAAGATTACCCTTTGCAAGTATTTCATAGGTAATACAAAACACAAAGAGAAGTATTGATACAGAAATATGGTCTCAATAGACTAGGAGATTGGTTTATTTTCAACTATACTCGCAGAACCACATTCCGGAATGGCAAAATCTTTAATTACTATATTTTTGTATCAATAATTCCCTTTATGAAAATAGACTACTGAGATATTATGTATTATTTATTTATGTATCAATGTTTTAAATACGTGAGGTATTTTATAAAATTAGGGTATGATGAGGCTGACATATCCTTATAGGATAAACACCTCTAAATAAAAAAGATAAAAAAAAAGTATATCATAGGTGAAAAAAGAAGAAAAAACGTTAAAAACTTAATTTTCTCTTAAAAACATATTTTTCTTCGGAGTGGGTTTTTTTTTGCTAAACGAGGATGTTCGTCTAATAATGTAGCCACATCCGAACAACTTTCATTTAGCATATTAAATTTGACTGTTAAGACGGCAGGTAATGTTATTACAGAAAGTCGCGACTTCTCACTGCTCCAATAATCATTTCCTAGTGAAAATACTCTTTCAACAGCAGCGTTAGTGCCCTGTGGACAATATGAGGAAATTTCTATTAAAACTTTTAAATTTTCATATGGGTTATGTTCTACTGAAATTCAAATCACTGTTAAAATAATTTTTAATATTTAATTAATAAAATTGAAATAAAATAATTAAAAAAAAATGTTTTAGAAATACAAATGAGTACAAAATTATACAAATGATCGCTCTTAGCGATAAGGTCGCCCATTGTTTTCTCATTGTGATTATTTCTTGTAATTGTTTATATTTATAATAAGTTTACTATTGTAATCTTTTTGGGGGGAACAATAAAGAGTATCTATCTACTTTCAGAGTACAGGATTTGAAAAGGGTACGCTTTGCGAAAAAAGAGTACAAAACTCAGTAAATGAGTATAGTTGGTCACCTTACTTTAAAATGGATGAAGATGGAATGGTGGGTGCACTATTGTTATCTTATGCTATTGATATATAATATAATGATGGGGCACCAGTGGTAGATGAAATCAAGTCAATTGGCCAACTGTTGTTTCATGAGTTCAGTACAAATTTGTCTCCATCGTGCACAATTCTTGTTGAATTCATCACGATGGGCTAACTGACCTAATTCATCCCCACCTATCATATTCATTGGTGCCCCGCTGGTGTATACCGATAGCGCGGGTTAGGCTACCATTCCATTATCATCCATTAAAGAAAAGTACAAATTTGTCATTGGCTATAGATCGGATTGATATCGATATTAAATTCAAGAGTAGAATGCTGTTTATTTATTTATTATTATTATTATTTTAATTTAGACTTTAATTGAGCAGAAAGTGCTTTTTATTTGTATACTATTGTTTTTTTTTTGTTTGTGTTTTGTATGCTACTGTGTTAGTCGCATGCTTCTTTGATTACATTATTTCTTTCTTTTATCGTGGCGAATTCGCAAATTAAACACGACGGGGCGGAAGGGGAGTAAGTGAATTTACAGGGTACAGAGGAATAACATCTGAGTCCTCAGGAATGGCAACGCATGGGAGGTATCATGGGCGAAACAGTATATTCTGTTATTTCCATGGTACTGCTCATGTCTACAGGCGACGGTTACCACTTTCCATCAGGTGGGCCGTCAGCTTGTTTGCCATTCTAAGTTGTATTAAAAAAAGTGGTACCTATATCGTCCTGTATAGGACCAGGACCATATAGGATTTCTTCCTGTAGAAACCTCAGGTTATAGAACCAACTCCTTACCATTTCCTAGGAGACTATCATGGGTTTCTTCAAATGAGAATAGGATCGGGGATTGTAAAGATCTTAAGTCAGAAGTAAACCAGAAACCATTGACGTTTATATGGGATGTTATAAATTGTGCATGTTACACAATTTATAAACTAAATTTTATGTGTTTTGTAACCACATATATTTAGTTTTTGGACAATCAAAAGTTCAATTTAATAGCCTTTGTGATTGCAATAATATGCACATGCTGCTACATTTAACGCAATCATTTCCTGTCATTACATATATATTCAGCCATTTAGTTACCAAATTTCCATCTTTTGTACTAGATAATCTCATGGCATTCGATAACTATATATTTATATTTACGCCAAGTCTATTACGGGGTAAGCAGAGCGAACCCAGTACCAAATATAACCGAGTATCAGTTTAATGAAAAACTTCACAATTGGCTTATTGAGAAATGTTTTTATTCATTGGAAGACTATTTTATATAATGATTGGGTACCTCTGTCCCATTCGTGTTTCAACCGTAAAGCAGTTGTGTTTGCATGGCTGTGTTTCGGTTTGAAGGGTGGGATATGGCGTGAATTTACTGGGTACGGAGGAATAACACCTGAGTCCTCAGGAATGACAACGCATGGGGGGTATCATGGGCGAAACAGTATACTCTGTTATGTCGATAGTACTGCTCATGTCTATAGGCGACGGTTTCCACTTTCCATCAGGTGGGCCGTCAGCTTGTTTGCCATTCTAAGGTGGTTTATAAAAAAAATACATATGTTTATTTTACTGATGCTCTTCCTAAAGAGTCGCATTCTAGAAGCACCAATCATCTGCCAAACAGTTTTCGACTATGCAATTAAGGTGCGTAAATAAAATTTCCCTTGCAGACCCCACCCACACAACCTGGTCGGGCGCGACTGCCTCCGGGGCGTGTGCACGGTGCGGGAGACCATCGACAGCGACTCCTGTCAGGTGCAGTTCAAAAATCTGGGCATCCAGTGCATCAAGCGGCGCGACATCGCCGAGGCGCTCAGGGTCCGGGAGGAGCTGCGGGTGGATCCCTTCAGAAGTGAGTCTTGCACTTACCAGATCTCTTTATTCATGCAGGTCCATAAAAATCCTTCTAACCAATTCTATCGTTGGTTTGAAAAGTGGTTTCAGTTGACGAGAATTGATCAGGAATATAATACGCTGTTTAGAGGTGATTACTTCTTTGAAGAAACTACGCAAACGAAGTTGCGGACAAAGTCTAGTTCTTAATTCTTAATATTGTTATAAAATAAAGTGTTTTTTTTTTTTTGATGGGTGATAATGGTATGGTAAACCCGTCTGCGCTATCGGTATACGCTGGCGGGGTACCAGTGAGGGACGATAGGTGAAATTGAAAGCAGGTCAGCTAGCCCATCGTGACGAATTCAACTAGAATTAAACACGATGGTTTCCAGGGGGATCCACGTGGAGATCGATCTGATAGGGTATATTGACAGTAATGGGGCTATTCGACCCCATTACTAACAATCCCTTTCCCCCCAATAAAGTGATATTGTCCAAGTGTTAACGGCATGAAACTACGAAATGGGGGCGATAAATTTTAGCAAAACTGTCACTGTTACCACTAAGACAACGGGGTTGAATTCTAATGGATGAACAACCACTTTGCTGATTATTCAAATATCTAATGCGGGTGAAGGTCAAGGTTTCAGTTCGATTCCACCCGGCTCCGTGGTCTAATCCGATACGTTACTCGATAATGCCTGATAAATGTTTTTTTATATCTGTATTAGTTTTTACCCGAGACTTTGTCTGCGTGACCAAGATAATACTAATTGTTCTCGATAAAAAGTAACCTGTGCATTTCTCTAACTGAAATACTATATAATAATGATTCTGTAAAGAAAAGTATTTATGAGGTCCTATAGCGAACAACTTCATCCTAGTAAGTAACCTATATTCTTCTCTATACCAAATATTACGTAATTTCCTATCTTAAAAACACACTTAAAAAAACCTATCTGTGTAGCAAATCCAAATTCAAAATCTTTAGGTTTTGCGTGAAAGAGTAACAAAGATCTATCCATATATCCATCATTACAAATTATATATATATATATATATATATATATATATATATATATATATATATATACACACACACACCACTGAGGTAATTTATATGTAAGAGATAATACTGCATCTTTACCTTTCCGCATTGATTCAAGAGGAATAATTTGCAAAATACCTGATTATAAATAACACACGACACCAATAGCGGTCAACATACAAAAAGCACGCCGGCGTTTCCGGTTTTGATAAAATTCTGAGAATTGTATACGAAAATATCTAAATAATCAATCAATACATATATAATAATAAAATCGTAACTGGTCGCTGTCTGTACATGGAAGATATATAAGAAAAACTATTATAGGGGGGCTTTATGAAGGCAATAGAACCCGAAACAATGATTTTTAGAATTTTCGTCTGTTTGTACGTTTATGCTTGCTAATCTTAGAAACAGCTTAACTGATTTGGACGCGGTTTTCACTAATACGTTGCGGTTTGCTGCACTTAACATTTAGTGCTTGTTTAATTTTAATCGGTTTTATATATATATATATATATATATATATATATATATATATATATATATATATATATATATATATATATATATATATATATATATATATATATATATATATATATATATATATATATATATTATTTATTTAGGTTATCATTCCTTCATTAAAAAAAAATACCCTCCGCTTAGTTGATACTACATGACATTGTGCTTTTTCCATAGAAAAGTATATTGCGTTCGTGTTGCGAAGTATTTATTATGGTTTATCATAATTACTATGAAACATATGCCCCATGCGTTAACACGACCACCAAAAGAATAACCAGAGGTGAGCACGTGCAATATAGAACAAACAAACAGACAGATAAAAAGATGGAGCTCTCGTTCATTATATCAATAAATATTGGAAACCAGCGGCCCGTCCCGGCTTCGCGCGGGTGGACATTTTTACAACATTTTAAAAAGTGGTTACTGTGACGTAACGATAATAGTTGGACATTTTTTTTTATACAACTTCGAATGGCAAACAAGCTGAAGATCCACGTGATGGAAAGTGATAACAGTCGCCTATAGACATGAGCGGTACCATGGACATAACAGATTATACTGTTTCGTCCATGATATCCCCCATGCATTGACATTGCTGAGGACTCAGGTGTTATTCCTCTGTACCCAGTAAATTCACGCCATATCCCTACCCTTCAAACCGAAACACAGCCATGCAAACACAGCTGCTTCACGGTTGAAACACGAATGAGACAGAGGTACCCAAGCAATCGACTTTTGTACAAAGTCTCCCTCTGGTGGGACATACAGTATCGCGAAGTTTTTTGTAGTTATTGATATTATCTTCAATATTGTAGAACACACTTTTGTTCTGTCACCAATAGTTTCCGCAGCGCACGCGACCAAAGATATTTTATAGCATTTTTTACACCTTGAGTTATGTTACAAAAGTTTTAGTAAGGATCCCTAATCTTTTCTAGCAATAAATATAGCCTAGGGTGAATGTAGCTTTCTAATGGTGAAAGAATTTTTGAAATCAGCAAAGTAGTTTTTGAGTTTATTCATTACAAACATATATATATACAAAAATACAAATCTTTCTTCTTTATAATATTAGTGTAGGTTAGGTAATCCGGCGAAACTTCATTCCGCCTAACAGTCGATTCTTTAATTTTTTTTTTATAATGATACCTATTAATTTTATTTTATTTTTACTTATTCCAAATTAAGTTATATTTTTATTGACAATAGCTGTGGCGTGCGCGTGAGCTGCGCGCCGTACTGGACTGTACTTGGACATTGCAACATTATTTTTCTAAAATAAAAGAATTCTTCTAAAATAAACGTAGCCTAAGTTACTCCTTATTACATTAGCTACCTGCCAATAAAAGTCTTGTCAAAATCGGTCCAGCCATTTAAGAGATTAGCCGGAACAAACAGACAGACAGACAGACAATTATTATTTTGGTGTATGTACTGTATATACATATATATATATATATATATATATATATATATATATATATATATATATATATATATATATATATATATATTACATATACATGTAGTAAAAAACGGTTTATTCAATATTACAAACAGACACTCCAATTTTATTTATATGTATAGATAGTGTAGACAAACGTCGAGTTCATCGGCGGATTAAGTGTCTCTCAGACGGGCGGGCGTGCGTCATGGGTTACGCACATTGCGTAACCCATGACGATACAGCATTGAACATTGCAGTCAAACTATTCGGCTCGCCAATTTTATACAAATACAAGCTGGCTCGGCAAACGTTGTTTTACCATGTACATTATTGCGAGAACTATACATGAAAATTTATCGTACTACAATTATTATATTCGGTTGTCATCTTTCAACCCTATTGCGGCATATAAACATCGCGATTAGAAAACAGGGGTTGATCGTAAAAGCGTGACAATTTGAATTTGTTTTTAATTTTTAATGCTAAATCATAATAAAATACAAATGTAAAAATTTGTCAAAGAAATAAAAAAATATATTTTTGGGTGGGTCACCCTTATCATTGAGGGGTATGAAAAATAGATGTTGGCCGATTCTCAGACCTACCCAATATGCACACAAAATTTCATAAAAATCGGTTATGCCGTTTCGGAGGAGTTTGGTAACAAACACCGCGACACGAGAATTTTATATATTAGATTATAGTTTTAACACTTGGCTTACGGGGGAAAGGGATTGTTAGTAATGTAGACTGAGAATCCCATTGCTAGCAATATACCCAACCAGGTCGACCTCCTCACGGTTCTCCCTGGAAATTATTATGGTTAGTTCCTTATGAATTCATCATGATGGGCTAACTGGCCTGTTTTCATTCTCATCTATCACCCTTCACTGGTGCAGCGCCAGCGTCCGTTAGCGCAGGCGGGGTTACCATACCATTTTTACCCATCAAAAAAAAAAAAAAACACGTGGCTTACGTGAGTTGGTATAGAAATTTATACTCATTAATTATTTTTTTTTTATAATTAAATCATTATCTCAATTGAACACTCATTTCTTTTTTATCACTTCTCCCAATTATTATTTGGGGTCGATGTAATATACCTCGTCTCGTTGTTAGCAATGCACCCTATCAGGTCGACCTCCACGCGGTTTCCTCTGGAAACCATCGTTATATCTAATGGAATTCGTCACAGTAGGCTAACTGATCTGCTTTCATCCTCACCTATCATCCCTCATTGGTGCCCCGTCAGTGTATACCAATAGCGCAGACGGGGTTACCATTTCATTATCACCCAATAAAAAAAAAAACTATTGGGTATAAAAATCAAAAATGCCCACGGTACATACGAAGGGTCGGTGCGGTGCGGCGCGGCGGGCAAACAATGCGGATATTTAAAGCCGAGCTATTTCTGTCCGCGACCGGCGGCGCGGTGCTCCCCGTCTGCGGTCGCCAGCGAGCGGCTTATCATCACGACTAAAAACCGAGAGCGTACCATGAAATGTTTACCGAAATTTCAGTGCCGAAAGAAACACAAAATTGATATTAAAATAACACGATACATACATACAATATATATATATATATATATATATATATATATAAAGATTTAAATTGGTATTTTGTAATTAATAATAATTTGTCGGTGAACGGTCTTATCCCAACCAGTCTGGAACAACATCTCAGACGGTTGGGATTCAGAGGCGGCTCACTCCCGGGAAAGATGCAGAAAGCGGTGCTCTTAGATTCTGCCCGCATTGTACGCCGGTTTCTCTCACTGGGGCCGTGAACCCGGGCCCGACTGTGCTTCTGCCGGGGGTTAGTTGTCATCTCCTCTCCTTAAGAGGGGAGATGTGATTTAGGTAAAAATTAAAAAAAAAATAGTTTGTATAATTAATAATGTAAAATTTTTAATTATTTAAAAGGAATTTTTAATCGTAATAACTGTAAACTATGGATATATATCTGACAAATAAAAGATTTATTATTATAACGTTTTAAAATATTAAAAAAAAAATATCATAATATTGTTCCTTTAGACTTTTATAGTGGGATTTATGATAAACGAAATGTTAAGTTCCATTTATTTGGCCGATTTCGATATAAACAAAAAGACTAAATTGATTGCGAAAATTCGGAATTTATTTCTTTATTTATACTTTATTGTACACAAAAAATTACAAACATACAATTTATTTAATATAAATTATATGTTTGTAATTTTTGAATAAAGATGTATATTACATGGAAAATGGAAATGTCGTTAAATTTTACAGTTTTACGTGAAACACTAACATATATATAGACAATCAGGAATCGATGAAACAGAAATCAAAATTCATTGTTTTTGGTATAGTAATAATAATGATTCTTTATTAAGTTTTTTTTAATGGATGATAATGGTGTGGTAACCCCGCCTGCGCTATCGGTATACGCTGGCGGGGCACCAGTGAGAGATGATAGATAGGTGAGGATGAAAGCGGGTCAGTTAGCCCATCGTGACGAATTCCACTATGATTAACCACGATGGTTTCGAGGAGGAACCGCGTGTAGCTCGACCTCATGTGGTGTATTGCTAGCAATGAGTCAGTTAGACCTAATTACTATAAATTATTATTAATTAGCCGTCGAAGATGTGGTGAGTGCGAAAACGAACCCATGTCTCCGACATGGCACCTCGAGTGTATATCGTCTGGTTTTTGGTGGGTACACCCCGGCCTTACGGGGGATTCCCACAGTACCCATTCGGCTCTCACAAGGTGTATGGGTCTGCATAAAGCATTTACAAGACGTTAAAAAAATACCCAATTACTAACAATCCCTTTCCCCCCTCTTTACTAAGGTTGCCAGGAGCCACTTTTTATATTTTACAAATTATTACAACTGTAATTATAGCTGGGTTCTTTCGACGTGCAACGCAACGCAATGTTTCATGTAGTAAGGATCCAGCCTACAGTGTCACATGTACTATTTCATCATTTTGTAAACATCACCTTTGTCCACAGCTCGCTATGCCCACAGAAACCAGCCCCAGAGCATCGATCTCAATGCAGTCCGGCTCTGCTTCCAAGTGTTCATGACCGATGATACGGGGAAAGTCAAGCAGACCCTCACGCCGGTAGTCTCTGATGTGATATACGACAAGAAAGCGATGAGTGAACTCCAGATCGCCCAGATCAGCCACTGTTCTGGGCCTGCCAAGGGCGGCACCAGGGTCATACTGCTCTGTGAGAAGGTACGTCGTATGGATTTGGTTGGGAAGTACGTGCCAATTAAAAAACTTGAGATAATTGACCTGCTTACCATTTTTTATATCATCGTGTTTTTTTTAATGGTTGATAATGGAATGGTAACTCCGCCTGCGCTAACGGCATACGCTGGCAGGGCACCAGTGAGAGATGATAGGTGACAATGAAAAGGCAGGTCAGTTAGCCCACCGAGATGAATACACTTGGAATTCAGCACGATGGTTTCCAGGGGGAACTGCGTGCGTCAACGTAATGGGCGACCTTCACGCGGTTTAGCAGGGTACTGCTAGTAATGAGACTGGTAGTCCGCATTACTAACAATTCCTTCCCCCCCCCCCCCCGCCCCTCCCCATATCATCGTGTTAGGTTGGGTATAAAAGATCTCTTTTAAAAATAAGCTCAACCTGGCTAATAAGATCTATCGCTCTTTTACTTTCTTAGAATGTTGAAATAAAATATAATACTATACCAAGCCGCCTGGCCAGCGAAATAGTAGTAGATTATACTCTTCTTTGCTGTGAAGTCCCAGCATAGAATAGGCCGTCCCTTCCTTTCTCGTGGGTATCGTAAGAAGTGACTAAGGGAGAGCGAAACATGGGCAGCAGCGTCTCTCTTAAAACATCTCCAAAGCCTCACTGCGGTTGCCAATTCGCCTGCCAAGCGTGGCAACTACTGGCAAAACCTTTGGGGAAGGCTTATGTTCAGCAGTGGACAGTTAAAAGCTTATATGATGATGATGATGTATAAATGGTAATGTGTGAATGTCGTTGCAGGTGAACCGCGAGGACACGGCGGTGGTGTTCTTCCAGGAGGAGAACAAGCGCGTGGTGTGGGAGGAGCGCGCGCACATCGAGGCCGTGCACAAGCTCGTGGCCATCGTGTTCCACACGCCGCCCTACCGCCACCCCGACACCGCCGACCACGTCACCGTCAGTACACGAGCCCGACAAGCTTCTTATTGTATCTATGATGTTATGCCATAATATAAATAATCATATTTTTTTCTCAAACACGTACAAGTACCTTTGTCCCATTCGTGTTTCAACCGTGAAATAGTTGTTTGCATGGGTGTATTTCGGTTTGAAGGGTGGCATACGGCGTGAATTTACTGGGTACAGAGGAATAACACCTGAGTCCTCAGGAATGGCAACGCATGAGGGGTATCAAAAAAAAAAAAAAAGAATAATCAAAATTGCCGTACTGGCCAGATACATACGGGCAGCGGCCGGCAAAAGTTGTATGAAAATCTATATCTGTCATGTTTTGCGGCCAGATAAATTACTATGTAAACTCATATCTGTCCTGTAATTTAAACTTTTACTTCGAAACATGGCTACGAAGGAGGTAACTAATAAAAAGTTTTATTTAAATTTCGAACTGGCATGCAAATAGAAAGCTGTTTATTGAAAAAAAAAAACAAAGGAACATTATGGCGCGTGAAAAATTATTATTCTTCGTTATTCGTCATTGAACTTAAAAAGTAAAATTGTATTTTTGATTTCCGCGCATTGTTTGAGAAAAGTACTACACAAGCCTTGGCCACAACTAGGCATTGATGAACTCACGTATGTGTGCCTCGACTACGCCTCGGCCCATATTTGCACGTTCGTCCATCAATGCCTCAGTTGCTTGCCGCTGCAGTAATGTACTAATAGTGAAATACTATGAAATACAAAAAAACTAGAAATAGAATCTAGAATAGAATCTAACACGTATTAAAATTCTAACGCGATGCGCGCTATCATCTTTGTGAGTGCAATGTTACAAGCGTACGAAAAATACCTACGAAGAAGCTCTATTGAGCGTGCGTTGTAGGTATTTTCGTCGTATGGATCGTAAAATTTCAAATACATTGCGCGACATCAAAACTAAGAATCGTTAATTAAATGGTTGTTGTACATTTACACTGGTAAAATAATCTGCTTTCTGATTCAGATCATTTATCTGAAACAGCTGTTTTCTTTTTGGCCATCGTTGTGCTTCAGTATTCAGTAATTTTATTGGCATATCGCGTCCGTCAATCGTGGAACGCAGCGTACGATTTGTATTTTGTTTGTGTACAGGTGCAACTGCAGCTGCAGCGGCTGACGGACAACGCGCGCAGCAGCCCCGTGAGCTTCGAGTACATCCCGGCGCGGCTGTGTCCCCCAGGTGCCCGCAAGCCGCTGCCCGACCTCGGCCTCCTCGCGCGCCTCCTCGATAGGCCGCAGCTCGCGCAGCCCATGACGCAACCCGCGACCGACGGACCCGACACCAACAACAACAAACCTTTACTCGACAACGACACCGCCCTCGTCAGCTCCACCAGCGACTCCCTCGACGCGTCCGAGGGCTCCGCCGCGATCGCGGACATCAACGGCAACATTGAGGACCTCTCGGAGCCCATGGAGGTGGTCCCGGACGCGAACGAGAAGAGCCTCGACGACCTCCTCGACCAGGTCGCGGAGCTCGACGAGATCTACTCGGAAAACCGGACGCGGCTCGAGAACGTGTCGTCGCTGAACAACGAGCACGACACCGACCTCGAGGACTTCAACGACGCCGGCACCTACACGAGCCTCCAGCTCGCGTTCAAAAACCCGGTGCCCATCACCGAGCCCGAGTACTTGCCGTACGAGGACGTGCAGGTGCAGTCGTACCGCGGCCCTACCATAGAGTTCTCCCCGCTGAAGCGCGAGCCGGAAGCGGAGCGTGCGCCGCCGCTGCCGCCCAAGCGCGTGCGCAAGCCCGCCACGGAACCATTCAAAACGAGCCAGACCTCCGTCGACGGCATCCTAAAGCCGGGCCGGCAGCTGCCCGTCACGCGCAACCCGGACATCGTAAAGCGCGATCGTACGGAGCTGTCGGTGGCTCGCAGCGAGCCGGCGCTGCCGCCGGTGAAGAAGCGCTCGTTCTTCTCGCGGCTGTTCCGGCGGAAGGAGAAATCTCCCGCGCCCAGCGTCCGTTCCGAGGGCGCGAAGGAGAAGAAGTCGAAGCCGGTCGGCCGCTCGGTCAGCAGCGTGTCCGGCGTGCGGCCGACCAAGTTCAAGTCGGCCGTGTCGCACACCTCGCTCAAAGACAACGCGTCCGGCACCGGCCTCAGCTACGCGGACAGCGTCACGCACATATCCCTTCACGGGGACGACAATGAGAGGTCTGCCTCCGCCTCGTCGCTGCGACGCCCGGCTAGTTTGGCTCCGCTGCCGCCGACAGATGGCGACACTATCTTGGTAGCCGAGAGTGTACTGGCGCTGGATGCGTCCGCCTTCAAGAAACTCCAGGATGACTTGGATCTGACGGAGGCGGAGCACTACGCTCTGTACATGGCGGTGGCGCCGCACGCGACCGTGTCCGAGTTCGACGAGACGAGTTGCTACTACTCGCCGATAGATGGCAGCAAATATCAAAACCAATGATCGCTCGAGCTTCCGAGGGTTTCGCACGGATAGCACTAAATCGAGGAAACATAAACAAAATCGCGACGAAAAATCGTATACTTATATTGTTGACCTTAAATTTTCTAGTCGTGAATATTTTTTAACTCATATTTTCTTTCAGTACTTAATAATCTAGACATTTTACGCGATTATATTAATACATAAAAATTATAAAGATACAAAAAAGGTACTGAATTTATTAATACGCGAAAATCGAAAATAATCGACGAATTTCTACCTGTAAACCGTTTCCTGCCGTTTCTATGCCAAATATAGTCTTACATTTTATAGCAAAATGTCGAGTAAAGGTTTGGTGAGTGTTTTCTATTAATAATGAGCTTGTATACCTTATATTTAATGTACTTGTACAATGTCCTTATCGTACCAACGAATATATCGAACAAATGTACACTATAAAAGAAATAGATTATTACAGTAGAATCTCGATTATCCGAATCAGGGATCTTACAAATAAAATCCGGATAATCGATTATATAGTCAAATCAAACAATAATTAAATTTTAATATTTTTATATTATTTACAGACTTTTTACATTTAAACAATACGATATAAAAAAAAGTACGAGCTATAAAGGTAATGGATCACATAATACCATTTCTAAATCGGTAATTAGAGTTGTGAAGAATAAGTCCGGATAATCGAATATTCGGATAATCGATGTTCGTATAATCGAATTTCTACTGTACATAGATCTATTCAACTCTAGGTTTGTCTGTCATAGACAAGAAATATTAACAAGTAGATTTAATATTTATAAACTTTTTCTTCTTTTTATTTTTATTAAGGATTAATTTTATATTTTCAATATTGACTCTATGAAATGATTTCACTACTGTGTAATGTTACTTAATTAATACTTGATCATTGTTATTTATTTTGAGAGATCTCTGCATAGACATGAATATTAATAGATGTAGCAACTGCACATTTTTTATATGCCATATTTTTTGCTGCAAATAGTACTTGAACTGTTGTTAAATTTCTCATCATAAAAAAAATAATTTATGTCGAACAAATTTACGTGTAGTTATCAGAAACTTCCTTATGGATGGTACTTTAGGAAAGATACGGAAAGGGATTATTTTTATGAAACATCACAGAAAGTCGAAAGGTTATGGCATATTTTTCAAATAGACTGGTGGCACTTGCGTCATCTATGTTATTAATGTCTATGCAGAGTGTCATGTTAATCTTTATGTTCTAGATTCGGGGTATATTGATAGTAAAAAACGCAAACGTCCGCCGTCTATATTACAAGAGTACGAACATGACAGTAAGTTCAATGCAAACAATTACATACATTTGTATGATGTATTTCTATTTCACAGCCTTCCCTTACGATGGGGTTCCCGGTGGAAACGCCACTAGTTGGCGCCACTCGCAACAAGTATACTCAACTGCCATTTGTTACATTTTTGTATTTATATTAGTATTTATATATTTGGAGTATTCTTCTATGTCGAATTACATATTCATATTGTCTATTGTAAACGTTTAAATTTAGAACACGTAACGGTTACATTTTTGGCAGCATTGCTTGAGTGGCGTATGGCGCCATCTGTTGACGCTTATACGAAAACCCCCATTATACCATTACATCTATGTGTTGGGGTGAACGGGTTTATAACGACTTTCATTGTATTTATTAATTGTGGGATTTATATGGTGACATTTTGTAATATATCTATGTATTAAAATTATGGGATTTGACATTTACCTAGTAAATAAGACCATTGTATCGCCTAACAATATTGTTATATAAGTATTGATTTATATTATATATTTCTTTAATATTAAGATAGGCTGATGGTTTTACTAACAAGCGAATAGTGTATTTAAACGTATCAAGGTTTACTTCTTAGTACTAAGAGTAATCTTGTATAAGGTAATATTTTTGTAATTACCTAATTAATTTACTACAATATTACTCTATAAGGTGAGTCTTCACTTAACCGTGCTAAACGCGTCACAGAGAGAAATCGTAAAACATTTCTAAATATCGTCAGCTCTTTTGGATGTTTCAGGTGGTCCACCATGAAATGAAATTCCGAATTTTTGGGCTCGATTTCGTGTTTTTGTTCGTACCGAAATCGACCCAGTAAATGGATCTTAACATTTCGTTCACCATAAATTCTATCCTAATTAGAATTAATTAATTAAAATAGAGGAGCGATATTTTAACATTTTTAATAAATTTAAACGCCATGTATTATGTGATTTTAACATCAAATTTCTGTTTCGTTCGTCGTCGAAATTTCGAAAATCATTTCGTGGTAGGCCTTAATGAGTTAATAGCTTGGGAAGAATTGGCGAAGTAGCTTATCCGGGTATTTCTACGCTTGGCCATCGTAAATCGGCTATTGTACGCGAGCTTGTGGTTAGTCCAGCCGAGCTAGACTAATTTAGAAGGCCAGAGAGCAAATTAGATTGCACGACAGGGATAATATTGATTCTGCAATCGCATTTTTCATTTAACGCGTTCGGAGATGATAAGTGTGCGTTTACCTTTAAAAGTTAACCTATAAAAAAGTAAAAAATATTTGTCAATGCATTAGGTGCTAAATTGATTCAAACTTTATTATCTCTGGCCGTCCATTTTTCGCGTATAACACTGCGAAACAGCATCATTAATTTCACGTTATAAGTATTAAAAAAAAAATGTATATTGTCTTTGGTGAATTGATGTTTTTTTTTTTTGTGTCTGTGACTAGACCTGAGAAAAGTTACCTATCTGTAGTCAATATTCTTTGAATTTATATCAATGGAGACTAGTCTTTGCAATTTTTATAAATTTGTTGAATTTCTATTGTCTGTTAGAACTTTCGTTGTGTCGTGGTTTATTCGTTTATTTATAGGTTATTTTTTTTTTTAATAATTAAGTAGACAAATTTATTTATTTCTATATTTTAATTATCTATTAGAAATTGTAATTATGGACGGATTAATTTATGTTTCACGTACCTCCCTAAATTATAGACTAATAATACCCTTTAAAGCAGCCTTTCTCAAAGTGGACGATAACGCCCCCTTGTGGGCGATGCAGGCCTAAAGAGGGGCGGTAAGAGACTCGAAAAAAGATGGGCGTTGTATAGGCTTGGGGGGTGATTTGTTGATCTTGAACTAATAGCAATTTTTAAATAGGTGAAAAAATTGGGGGCGCTAAAAAATAATTTATTCTCAAAGTGGGCAGTAGACAAAATAACTTTGGGAACCCCTGCTTTAAAGGGTTCGGAATATATCTATATAAATATTATAATAATAGTATAAAATTGATTATTAGCTTCAAGTGAAAATGTAACAGTGTAAAATATATAAAACACATATATATGTTTATATATTGGCTGAGAGAGTCGCTATGTCGTTCATAGCGCACTGCTCTGCAGTGCAAAGTGCTATAAGTACAAATTAATTTGTTTTCGCGTGCCCTCCAGGTGCTAATGTGGATATGTGTGTTGTTAACAAAATTTTGTTATACGAGAAAACTGTTTCAAAAACTATCAAATAACCAAGCTTTATATATTTATAAAATATACGTATATTTTATGGCGTGAATGTTATTTAATGTATTGTCCGGTGAAGGAATATTGTTATACGGTCCTATTTAGCGCTTTAATGTGCGTGCGCAATATAGTTACAGGCAGGGCACTCGCCAGCTACATAGTTTATGGTTTAAAACAATTCACGAAATGCTGAAGTTCAAATTGAGAATGGAAACCAATTTGTGGAGTACGCGAAGTTTTTGCTGGTTCCAATCCGGCTCGAAGGACCAACTCACATACGGCTTAAATTTAGTTATTTATTCCAGGGCCTAAATATACATGACTTGAAGCTTTTAGTAAAGTAGCTTAATTTATTTAAGGTTTAAATTTAATAACGTTCTCAAGTTAGTGAATTGTGAATCATTTAAACTGTGTAATTGACGCATGCGCAAGAAAAAAATCTGCAATATAAGACCGTACAATCATTGTTACTAATTCTAATTTTCTAAATTAATTCGAAATGCTCTAAAGAGCGTCCCCGTCGTCGGAGACGAACTGCCTTCTTTCACTGATCAACGTGTAAGGTAAATGCATCGCAACTATGACATACGATACATATCTTGAATTGTATAGAAGAATTATAAATAAAAAATAATAGTTTTTAGATAAATTTACATTGTAGCCGTTTAGATCCGATTATAAAGTGATCAGGGACAAAATGATGAACGTGAAAACGTGAGATCTACGGGTTGTGTCCTTTTGCCTCTGACCGTTTGTGTTTGTATTTAGACATTTTTACACTTTTATACAATATCCGGTGATTATTGTAGTGCTGAATGCGTGGCGTAAAATTATATATATATTAATATGCTAATAAAAAAATACTAAGTGTTCTTTTATTTTGATATTGAATGGAAAAAGGAACAAAGCACCCCGATATAGGCGAAGAGGTACGCAAAACGTTTTGTGGCATGAGTGTGTAACTGTAGTTTTTTTATTCCTTTGGCATAGTCTAACTTTGTTTTGGATTTTTTTTTTATTTATTTTGTTGTCACACATATTCATATTAGCAAGTGTTTGTCGTCGAATTGCATGATTTTTTCTTTTTTTTTATTTTATTTTGTAAATACGTCTATAATATTGTTTTTTTTTTTGTTTTTTTGTATTTTTCTGCTTTAACATAGTTGTTTGATATTACATAGATATGTTATGTCTAGGTTTTAGAACAGCATGCTTATTTGTACAGCCGTTTACTTTAATGGATCTAAGTTGAATTTTTTTTTAAACGAATTGAATCGACAGATTGTTCATTCAAAAACACCAAGCGTGGCAAATATTGGCAAAGCACCCCTCATGAGAGAGGCTTATGTCCAACAGTGGACAATTACCGGCTGATATGATGTGATTTTTTTTTTATAATTAAAACTAAATATAATAAAAAAATTATTACGATCTTATGATTTATTAAATGCAAAAAGAAATTTTCAAATTTTGTCGTTCCAGAGATTAGCGCGTTCAAACAAACAAACTGTTTCGCTTTATTGTATTAGTATAGATGTGTTGCCTGCTTTGTGTGGTGTGAATCCAATTGTAAATTGTTATATGAACAATAGATTCTAATGATTCTTTATTTTTTACCAATTTAAAAAAAAAGACTTGCCAATATTAGTTAATTTTTAACAATCGCGTTGTTTATATATATTTTAAATACACAATCGGGACTTAACGCGATGAAAAAGTCTTTACAAGTCTTAACGCGATGAAAAAGTCTTTACAAGTCAATAAGTCTTTACAGATAAATAGTGCCTACATACCAGTTGTTTTGCATTTCGACGTGGGTTGCATCACGCCGAAGTCACGGCGGAACGTCCACGTCGAAATGTCGGCAATAAAGAAAACAACTGGTATGTAGGTACTATTTATCTGTAAAGACTTATTTACTTGTAAAGACTTTTTCATTGCGTTAAGACTTGTAAAGACTTTTTCATCGCGTTAAGACTTGTAAATAGTACCTACATACTTGCTTTATTCAACATCATCATTTCAGCCATTATTCGTCCACTGCTGGACATAAGCCTCTCCCATAGACAGCCATAAAGAACGGTCCTGAACAACCTGCGTGCACTGACTCACTGCAATGCTTCTTTATTGCCGACGTTTATTTACTTGTAAACATCTTGTTAAGTCCCGATTGTGTATTTAAAATAATCAGTGCCAATTATTGTACATATAAAGTATATAAAAATGAAATTTACCATATTACTTCGATTGTTTGTTTTAATGTTTTTTTTTTTACTATTTTCCAGGAGGCTATGGTGACCAGAAACCAATCAAATCGGAGCCACGTGGTAAGTTTGCATTAAAAAACACTTTTACAATACTCTAGGTCAGGACTGTCTAAACTAAATAGGATCTAGGGCCAATAAAAATGACTAATAAATAATTGTGAATGTAATGTAACACACACTATTATATTTTATCTATATTCCTTTTTTTTTTTTTAAATTTTTTCTATGGAATTTCGCGGCTCACTTTTGACCACAACAGAATATCAGTGTTTTGCTCTTTTTAGGGCAAAGCAATAAGCTGAACTGTGGCCATTTTGTTTTATTGTGGCACACGCATGAAAGGAAAAAATTTTTAATTATTTTATGCATTTTGTTTCTATTTATTTTTTTATTTTTTGTATATTAGTTTTTTTTTATTTTTTTTTTTTCACTGTATTTATGTATATTGTTGTTTGTGTGCTGTAAGTAATGCAAATAAATTATTTATCTATCTATCTAAATTCATTGGGGGGTCGTAAAATATTTGTAAAAATAAAATGCACCTATAATATCATTCTTGTGTTATTGTATTACTTTTTCATTAATTTATCTTTAACAATTCTGTCAGTATGAACATCAATATTGGTTACTACCAAAAACATTTGGCTAGAAAACATTTGGCGGGCCGCATCAATTTACGCGGGCCGTGGTTTAGACAGCTCTGCAGTAGGTAATGAAGAATGAGAAAACACCAGCAAAGAATGAGCACACCCAAGTGTAAAAGAAACAGTGGCATAACTATAGGCGGCGTGGTGGGCCCGGTCGTTGGGCCTATCAGGTTTTTTTTTATACAACTTAGAATGGCAAACAAGCTGACGGCCCACTTGATGGAAAGTGGTAACCGTCGCCTATAGACATGAGCAGTACCATGGAAATAACAGAGTATACTGTTTCGCCCATGATACCCCCCATGCGCTGCCATTCCTGAGGACTCAGGTGTTATTCCTCCGTACCCAGTATATTCACGCCATATCCCACCCTTCAAACCGAAACACAGCCATGCAAACACAACTGCTCCACGGTAGAAACACGAATGGGACAGAGGTACCCAAGCAATCGACTTTTGTACAAACTCTCCCTCTGGAAGGTGGAGGTTTATGTCCAACAGTGGGCAGTTAAGGGCTGATAAGATGATGATAATTACTGGGATCTTTAATAGCATATCAATGCCCAATCTAGGGGACAAATGCTCGTAGCAAAAATGTGGGATAAACGATAAATTTCATGTATTTATTTAATTAAAACAAAACTAAAAATATACGTACCAATATTTTTTTTTACAATACAGGAGGCAAACGAGCTTGTGGCTCACTTGATGGTAAGTGATTACTGCCGTTTATGAGTACTCGTAATACCAGAAGCATTGCAGGTGTACTGCCGGCCTTTTAAAAAGGAATATACTCTTTTCTTGAAGGTTATGTTGTCGTATCGGTTCGGAAATACTGCTGCTGGAAGTTGATTCCAAAGAGTGGTTGTGCGTGGGAAAAAGTTGTACCAATATATTTATAAAAAAAGTGTGTTTCATAAATCCTAAATTGATTAAAAAAACAAATTTATTTCTTTTCAGATAAGACTTCGCCACATGCCCTTGGTACCCAGTACGGAGAGCAGGTAAATTGTTTAAAACATACATTACTTATTTTACTGTTTCTACCCTACCACGTTGGTTAACATTAATAGGTGGGGGAAAGGGATTGCTAGTAATGGATTCTAACTGACCCATTGCTAGCAATAAACCCTATCAGGTCGACCTCCACACGGTTCCCCCTGGAAACTATCGTGGTTAATTCTAGTGGAATTCGTCGTGATGCTAAGGCTAACTGACCTGCCTTTTCATTGCAACCTATCACCTCTCACTGGTGGTCCACCAGTGTATATCGATAGCGTAGGCGGGGTTTTTTTTTATTGGATGATAATGGAATGGTAACCCCGCCTGTGCTTTCGGTATACACTGGCGGGGCACCAGTGAAGGATGATAGGTGAGGATGAAGCAGGCCAGTTAGTCCATTGTGACGAATTCAACAAGAATTTTGCATGATGGTTTCCAGGGAGAACCACGTGGAGGTCGACTGAATAGGGCATATTGCTAGTAATGGGGCTGTCAAACTCCATTGCTGACAATCCCTTTCCCCCCTCGCAGGCCGGGTTACCATTCCATTATCACCCATTTAATATAAATAGGTATGTTTGACGAAATATAGGACATGTTTAGTGTTCTCTCATAGCGGTAACGAACGATGAACGTCTCTAACTACCTATTACTGGGATTACAGTCGTGAACATTTTTAATTATTTTCGACCGACTTATAAAAGGAGGCACCCTATTTTTGTCTTATTTTTTTTTATATTTAGAATAGAATTGAAACATTGCCAGTAAACATACAATTATAATAAAAAAAAAATATATAAATAACATATACAAAAAGTGTCCCATACTAGGCAAAAGGAACTGGTTCAGCTGATGCTGCGAGTGTCCCAGCGCAATGTGAACAGCTGCACAGCGCTGGTTTACAGCCAGTCCCTCTCTTAGCAAAACATAACCAAAGTGCAGGGTACCACTTTAAATTGCTTCTTACAAGAATTTCCCTATTTGTTACCTCAGAACTCCATCTGTATGTGCTGTAAGTGATGCAAATAAATTATCTATCTATCTATCTATCTATAACAGTACCATTAGATGGACCGTCTGTTCGTTTGCTTCCCTAACCATAAGAAAAGACAAGTCCATGTTAGTTTTTATATTAATAAAGATTCTTGAAGTATTTATACATTTTTTTTTACAGTGGTTAATGCCAGAGATGCCTGTCCCTGGCCCTTCACACGTCCAACATTCTTATCAACCCATGAATTGGTCTAGTCCTTCCTATAATCACCCTATGGCTCACTCGCCCAACCTCCAGGAGATGTCGCCCATGCACCCCGGCTCCCCAAACGTAGTGATGCACACAGCTATGCATTCACTATCGCCGAACCTTCAAGTTCCAGCGACTATGGGACAAGTGCCGTCCCCTATAGGTCAAGTGCATTCTCCTATGGGATCAGTACAGTCGCCCATGGGGCAAGTACAATCTCCGATGGGGCAAGTGCATTCTCCAATGGGGCAAGTGCACTCTCCTATGGGACAGGTGCACTCCCCTATGGGTCCAGTGATGCCGATGGACCAAGGCATGGGCCCAGTCAGTGGCATGTCTCCCGGGATGTCACACATGTCACACATCTCAACAATACATGTGGCACCAACATATACTCAGGTAAGGAATTATTTTTTAAATTAGTATTTACTAGGAAGTAATAATAAAATTTCCGTGTGGTCCCGGCATAGAGTAGGCTTCTTTCTTTCCCCTGGGATCGTAGGAGGCGACTAAGGGAAATTAGTGGTCGAGGGATGGGCAGCAGCGTCCCTCTCAAAACATCACCAAAAGCCAAACTGCGGTTGCCAACCTGCCTGCCAAGCATGGCAATTCATGGAAAAACTACCTTTATGGGTTAAGACTATGTTCAGCTGTGAACAGATGATAAATTTTTGACCTATAGAGAACTTCAAATGCCTCCGATCAAATTGTTTATAATTACTTCTCTCCATCCAAAGGTTGCCTGCAAGAGATCGCTCTTAGCGATAAGGTAGCCCATTGTTTTTTCATTGTGAATGTTTCTTGTAATTGTTTACATTTATAATAAGTTTACTGTTGTAATTTTTTTGGAGGAAACAATAGTATCTATCTATATTGACAGCAAGTAAGGTGGGCTGTATTTTATTTTTCTCAAATATGCTTGGAAATGTGAACAAAATTTTAACATTCTTCTTCGAGATCAATCAAAATTGCCGTACTGGCCAGATACATGCGGGCAGCGGCCGGCATAAGTTGTATGAAAATCCATATCTGTCGTATTTTGCGGCCAGATAAATTACTATGTAAACTCATATCTGTCCTGTAATTAAAAAATGGAATGACCTTTTACTTCGAAACATACCTACCAAGGAAATAACTAATACAAGGTTTTATTTAAATTTCGAACTGGCTTGCAAATAGAGAGCTAAAAAAAAAAACAAAGGAACATTAATAAGTAAAATTGTGTTTTTGATTTCCGCGCATTGTTTGAGAAAAGTACTATACAATTCTTGGCCACAACTAGGCATTGATGGACTCACGTATGTGTGCCTCGACTACGCCTCGGCTCACATTTGCACGTTCGTCCATCAATGCCTCAGTTGCTGGCAGCTGCAGTAATGTACTATTCCGATAAAGTTAAAGATTTTCCATACATCTACCTGGCACAGGTTGCTAGTGCTGTATTAAAACAAACTGGTTATTGTATGCGTGTGTTGGCGTGGTGTGCTGCCAGATGGCGCCTGCGCAGCCGCCGCCGCAGCCGCTGGAGAGCGCGAGCAGCACGCCGTCGCTGTCGGCGCTGCTGGCGGAGGGCCGCGAGCTGGCCACGCTCAACTCGGGCGACCTCGCCAACCTGTCCTCGCTGCTGGCCTCCGCCGACCGCTCGCCCGACCTCAGCGACAGCCTGAACCGCCTCTCCACCAGCGACCTGCTGCAACCCTAGCCCGCCCGCCGTGCACGGTAACTACTCGTACCTCGCGCTAATCATTCATCATACACGGGGCCGCCTGAACATCAGCGCTGCATATATATATATATATATATATATATATATATATATATATATATATATATATATATATATATATATATGTTATATATATATATATATATATATATATATATATATATATATATATATATATATATACAACAGAGGGAGACTTTGTACAAAAGTAGTTTTTTTTAATATTTTTTTTTTTCATTATTTTTCAGAGTGAAGCAGTTGTGTTTGCATGGCTGTGTTTCGGTTTGAGGGGTGCGATATGGCAGTGAATTTACAGGGTATGGAGAAATAACATCTGAGTCCTCAGAAATGGCAACGCGTGTAAGGTATCATGGGCGAAACAGTATACTCTGTTATGTCCATGGTACTGCTCATGTCTATAGGCGACGGTTACCACTTTCAATCAGGTGGACCGTCAGCTTGTTTGCCATTCTAAGTTGCATAAAAAAAAACTTTGGTTCTTTTGAGGATATGCTCGTTTCGGATTCTATCACGCAAAGAGACTCCAAGCATAGTCCTTTCCATAGCCCGCTGAATAATTTGAAATTTTTGCATACGGCAATGTTTTTATTTACTACAGGTAAATTCAAATAAAGCTAATTCTTTTTTGATGGGTGAAAATGGTATGGTAACCCCGCCTGCGCTAACGGGATACGCTGGCGGAGCACCAGTGAAGGGTGATAGATGAGAATGAAAACAGGCCAGTTAGACCATCATGATGAATTCACCAGGAATTAACCATGATAGTTTCCAGGGGGAACCGCGAGGAGGTCGACCTGGTTGGATATATTGCTAGCAATGGGATTCTCAGTCTCCATTACTAACAATCCCTTTCCCCCCAATAAAGCAATTTATCTGTATATACAATTTGAACAGCTGTTATTTTGTACCATAAAGGTGGCATCGGATTGTCGCACGTCTCGTGTCGCGGTTACTGTCGCCTATGGACCACTGCTTCAAGGATATCATCGTCGACTGCATGTTACTGGCCGGTTATAATTGAGTTTGTTTTTTTAATGGATGATAATGGAATGGTAACCCCGCCTGCCGCTATCGGTATACGCTGGCGGGGCACCAGTGAGGGGTGATAGGTGAATAATGAAAAAAGGCAGGTCAGTCAGCCCATCGTGATGAATACACCTGGAACTCAGCACGATGGTTTCCAGGGGGAACCGCGTGGAGGTCGACCTGACCCTATATTATATATACCCTATATTGCTAGCAATGGTACTAGTAGCCCGCATTACTAACGATCCCTTCCCCCCTAATTGAGTTTGTTAACTTATTTCACTATAACAAAATTAACACTAAACCTACAGACATTCAAAACTCTTAACCAGTCAAAAGTGGTTTTGACTGCAAATTTGAGATTTTTTTAATGGGTGATAATGGAATGGTAACCCCGCCCGCGCTATCGGTATACACTGGCGGGGCACCAGTGAAGGGTGATAGATGAAGTCAGCCAATCACGACGAATTTGACGATAATTAATTATGATGGTTTCTAGGCGGAACCGCGTGCAGGTCGACCTGACAGGGTATATTGCTAGCAATGGGGATTAGCGTCCCCATTACTAGCAATCCTTCTCCCCCTGCATAAGGAGTATTAGCAGTATACATGAAATATGTAATAAGCCATGTTGTGTACATTTGTTGTAAATTATAATTAGGGATTAAATTGTCCCATCGGGATATCTATCTGTGCTATTATTAAGTGCTTTAGTTGTTAGGAAAAAAAAGTAAAAAAAAAAATAAATAAAAATCTATTTTAAATATCGATGCGTGAGTCTCATGATGTCAGGGAGGTTAAAATAGCAACACTTTAAATGTATCCTACTTTTTTTTTTTTTTTTTTTTTTGTAAAGATAAAGGAGTTCGTTTCTGAGGCGTCATTTCTCTAAACTTTATCAATATAGGTGATCAATCATATATGTTTAAAAAATATACATATATCATCAATATAAAAAAATAAATATATATATATATATATATATATTGTATCAGTTACAGAGAATTGCATTATCATCGAATATCATGGATTGTAAGTCATTAAAAAAATAAGTGCTAAACCGGTGTGAGTCACCAGTATTTAATAACAATAAATACATATTTATCGCTTCTTTTTATTACAATAGTAACTTCTTTTTTTTTTTTTTCATTGGATGATAATGGTATGGTAACCCCACCTACGCTAACGATATACGCTGGTGGGGCACCAGTAAGCGATGATAGGTGAGGATGAAAAGGCAGGTCAGTTAGCCCACCGTGATGAATACACCTGGAGTTCAGCACGATGGTTTCCATGGGGAACCATGTGGAGGTCGACCTGTTAGGGTATATTAAGCTACCAAGCCTATTTCAATTACAAAGTGCTATTCTGAATAGTATTTGTGTTTAGTAAACAATCGAATGAGTATGTCTCGTAAGCGCATTTGCCTGTAACTACGAAATTACAGTGGTCCCTTCATCGTAGTTATATTTGAGGACGACTGTATTTTAATTTTTTTTTATACAACTTAGAATGGCAAACAAGCTGACAGCCCACCTGATGGAAAGTGATAACAGTCGCCTATAGACATGAGCAATACCATGGACATAACAGAGTATACTGTTTCGCCCATGATACCCCCCATGCGTTGCCATTCCTGAGAACTCAGGTGTTATTCCTCTGTACCCAGTAAATTCACGCCATATCCCACCCTTCAAACCGAAACACAGCCATGCAAACACAACTGCTTCACGGTTGAAACACGAATGAGGCAGAGGTAAAGTAATCGACTTTTGTACAAAGTCTCCCTCTGGTAAATTTGATAGCTTCGTAAAGTTATTGTTTAATGGACTAACTAAATTTATAATTTATTAATTAATTGTTTAATTTGAACTTAAAATCTATTACAAATTTTGTTTATTATGATGCATGTAGTAAAGATTTGGCTGTAACGTGTATTTAAAAGATTTAGATTAATGGCGCTTCCGAATCGAAACTTATTGTGGATATAAAAAAATAAATTCTTTCCAGAGTCAGACAGTATTTTAGCCCTCCTGCGTATATTTTTGTAATACGATTTTAATAATTATACTCATTATGGTTATTCATTGATACAACGCCCTTTATAAATGTTTTTTTTTTTTTTCTAACACACATAGGAAATACTTCAGGCACTTTTTTTTTGTATTGCTTTATTTTTTAAGGGAATATTACACGATCATTGTTATTGAATTACATCTAGAATATTATTTAAAATTTTAACTTTCAATGTAATTATAAATTTAGCAACCCAGTGAGATTACTTATTTTCGCCCCTTTTTTTTATTGTTTCAATTATAATATATATATATATATATATATATATATATATATATATATATATATATATATATATATATATATATATATATATATATATATATTATATAATTTTATCTTCAACCATAATCGCTACGTAATGCTAAAAATTATTGTCTATGAATGTTGTTATTTTTTTTTTATTTTATTTTATTAATATTTTTTTAACGTGCATCGCTAAGAGATTAATATCTCTTGATACTTAACAAATTGACGTAACTATTGTATGCCAATACCGTTTCTATTGAATTAGAAACGACTATATGGAATGGGTTGTATAGGTTGTACCGACTTCAAAATAGGAGGTTCTCAATTTAAAAATAATAAATTATAATAATATAAAGTTGATTGTAATTATGGGTAGCAGGGTTATAGACGGTTCGATACGCGTAGAATGACGATGGAAACAAACTGTCAGAGTGTTAATTGTGATTTCAATAATAAATTTATAAGTGTTAAACGTACGGTTGACAGAATAAAGAGGATTATAATGCTATATTGAATCTGAACTTGTACATATTAATTTTGTAGTTGTCTGTTTGATGAATGGATGCGTCCAATCATGAATATTTCCTCATGTCTTAACATTGATAGGGGTCAAAGCGATGCAAATAATACTAAGGGGGAAAACATACGAGTTGACGCGATAACTTTTTGGTTTTTTAAATGTTAAATCACGTTATCACAGATATGATAACTATATAAATTTGCAATAGGTATTGTTATGAGTTAATGCACGTATGGAGTGAAATAGAAAACACCATTGTTGGTATTCACCATGTTTCAATCAAATTTCGTGAATCAAAAATTTAAAAACAAAAAAATATTTTAGTCACCCATAATTATAACATTATGTTATCTGTGACCATACTGAACGCAGTCTCTCTCATCTGTGTGTAATAACTCAATATCCGAACGCGCCGTGTTATTATGGGAGGCTCAATAATTCTTGTCATATTTCGACTTACGTCTCTTTGATGAATATGTTCAGTTTTGCATTAGAATATTCCCTTCGAAGGATGCAAACTAATTCTATCTATATATTTATAGATTTTATAAATATGAGATTTAAACTGATTTTGTTGGTGATGCGAACACATTACAATGTTTAGACGCGGTGAAACGTCAAATCTGGACGCATCCTAGTGTTGTATGTATGTATAAATTGTCTATGACAACACGACACCAACGACCTTTTGCGTGACTAAATACGGACATTGGTGCTTTTGTTTGTGTTCGTGAAGTAACGATTTATGTAGCGGTCTAATCGGAGAGTATTTATATTCCTTGGTTGAAACGTTGTAAATATTGGGGTCGGTTCTAAGGTTCAATTTACCTAAACCTATCTCTAAATTTAAATTTCAATTTGATATCACAGCGAAAATTTTTTTGTAACGATCAATATGAACTCATTTTCTAATATATTTATGTTGAAATTATTGATATTTTAGTTTATGACGGTTCATAAAACAGTGATTACGTGAATTTATCAAATTAAAATATGAAGTCAAGAGATAGGTTAGAGAAATGGCGTCTCAGATTTGGCGCCATTTTTACTCACACATTTTTAAATCTTCGGAAGGGACGTGCCATGTTGTCATAGACAATCTATACTTTTTTACTTGTAGGCTTAGAACGGAAGATATCTCGACGTTTGGTAATTGTATTGTGAATTTACATACATAGTCGTTGCTAGTTACATGGAGAAACAAATGCATTTAGCGTAAATGTACCAGTAGATTGTTTTTATCTAATCGGTTTGCAAACCGATTAAAGACTTTGAAATCTATGCGGTCCATAGGTACGACTATTTTTATTGATAAATCTTTGTAGATAGCAGTGTCGATTCTGAGTTGCCATTATTCTGAACTTATCTCTTAATCTTATATTTTAAATTGATAGTTTTGCGAAATTACTCTTTTGTGAACCGTCATAAACTAAAATTATAATAATTTTGACTCAATTAGGAAATTAATTTATATTAATCCTTGTAGTAATGCTTTCTAAATTTAAATTCTAAATTTAGAATTGGGTTTAGAGAAATAACTCCTCAGAATCGACACGTATGGGTTGTGCAGACGAACTCCAGTCATGGGGGTACTTTATTATATTTATTTTTTGTTTTTTTTTTTTTTTTTTTTTTTTGTTTTGGATATTAACACAGTGTAAGAATCTGTGTGTGTGTAAGAAGATGGATCTTATAAGATCCATCATGATTATAATCTCAATGCTCGTAATGGATTGTTGAAGTACTTGTAATTGTTCTTTGAGATTGAATAGTAAAGCCCGTATTATTAGTAAATTGTACTTGAATGTTGGTTTCGCCACTTGAAGAGAATGGATGAAATAATAATTACGAAAGAGGTTTATCGAGCAACAATAAATGGAGACGTCAGTAGGGGGTCGCCCTAGACGGACGTATGTCGACCAAATAGGCGACGTGCTGAAGAAGGGCCAAATTGAAAGTATCCGTAACCGGCGAGCGTGTATGAAAAGATTGATGAATGTGGAGGAAAGCGAAAGAGGTTTGTTTGAATCGAAGCAATTGGTGTTCCATTGTTTCTGTCTACAGCCTTTTAAGGACTAGGTAATTCTTAAAAGCTATAGAAAAAAACTCAATAAATATTCTCTTTAAATTAAACACACCCCAGCATTGTCCCTCGCCTGCACAAGCCCTAAAATGTTTATCTATAAATAATGAGATTTTGTGTATGCAGTGATTTACCAAAAATTGAATATATGTTGAACATATGTTGGTAATGAATAAAGTGTGAATATGTACTAGCTTACTTGTTTCAGCTGTTTTATTTTCTCACGTTTATGTTAAGTAGTTATGTCGCATTAGTATCATTGTTGCAGATCAGAGAAATAAACAAAATGGTGTCTCAAATACTTTAGTTAAATAATAAACATTATGTACCTACATTAATTGTCATATAGAAAAACTGAATATATAAAAATTGTTGCCTTACTAATAGATATTCAAGCAAAATTGAAAAATTGAAAATTTATATTAATTTCATATAAATTTGTAGCATTAATCACTGATTTCATTATGCTTTTTTTTGTGAATACCTTTTTACAATTAAGAAATATTTATGAATATTGATTAACCTTATTGTCTATCTTCCATGATGTAAAAAAAAAACTTTTCAAATGCTTTAAAAACTAAATTGATCCATATATTTAGTAGATTAAGAAAATATAAATAAAAAAAAAAACTATTATTTCCTTTATATTATATAAAGCAGATACTACATGAGTAGGTTGGACAAATATGATTGTAAAACATTTTCGTTGCCTAAATTAGCCTCACATTACTTGGCGTCGGTGCTACATAGTAGGTACATTTCATTTTGTACTATTTTGATGTAAAAAAACTAACTTTGCTAGGTAGCTATTGTCAATTAATTGTTTTAAAGAATAACCACTGTACTTTTTTTTTATTTTTCTGGTCTGGTCTTAAATTTCAATATGTTCTAGTTGTTAAGCCATCACATCGTGTAAGATTTGTGTGTACTTGAAACGTGCAATACGTACCGATTCAGAATATGTACTGTCTGTTGTATTTTTTATTATTTCATAAAGAAATAAAAGAATATTTGAAATTATTCCATTGTTTTTATTTTTTTTATTTGGGTAACAACTCTGGCGTTGCCAGCGAGACCATGAAATAAAATAGCAACGTCTGATGTCTGATTTCAACTTATAGTCGTTCGTGTTTGAACCGTGAAGCAGTTGTGTTTGCATGGCTGTGTTTCGGTTTGAAGGGCGTGAATTTACTGGGTACAGAGGAATAACACCTGAGTCCTCAGGAATGGCAACGCATGGGGGGTATCATGGGCGAAACAGTTACTCTGTTATGTTCATGGTACTGCTCATGTCTATAGGCGGTGGTTACCACTTTCCATCAGGTGGGCCGTCAGCTTGTTTGCCATTCTGAGGACTCGGGTGTTATTCCTTTGTGTTTTCTAAAGTTTTTTTTGGTGTGACTTTTAAAATATACATTCTTAAAGGCATTTAATGGATGATAGTGAAATGGTAACCCCGCCTGCGCTATCGGTATACACCGGCGGAGCACCAGTGAGGGATGATAGGTGAGGATGAAGCAGGTCAGTTAGCCTATCATGACAAATTCTCTAATGAATCACGATGGTTTCCAGGGGGAACCGCGAGGAGGTCGATGTGATAGGGTATATTGCTAATAATAAGGTTGCTAATTCTCATTATTAACAATCCCTTTCCCTTCTATAACTTGAAGTTAAATTTGTATTTTTTTAGTGCTTAAAATCTCCTGTACATTCTTATAAGTTAAACCTTAATTTGGGTGTTATTATATAAGATTAAAAGAGCAGATTGGCCAAAACAAATAGCTGATTCAGATGAATGATCTGAATCAGATGGCAGATTATATTTCCAGTGGAAATACACCAGAGTCATTTAATTAACAATTCATAGTTTTGACGCTACGCAATGTATTTGAACATTTATAATTCACAAAACGCGTGATACCTACAATGCACAATCAATAGCTCTTTTTCATAGTTAATTTCCATACTGTTGTATGACGAAAAATCCAAAAGATTTTTTTTCACAAAGATACAGTGATTATTAAAAATGAATTTATATTTTAAGAATATTAATCTATATTACATAGATAGTCTGTAATATATATTTTATAGATAGTCTGTAAAAGTAAAACTAATAGCAAAGTGATAATAAAATGAAAGAACATTGTAGATATTGCGTCGTTGATAATTTTCTTAATCTACGACGAAGAAGATGGTTCAAGCATGATCCTATGCTTAGTTGCCAAAGCTCTAATAAAAAAATCAATGTCATTATGAAAATTGTTTGTTTACATTTCTAAAGTTCGTAGCTACCTTAATAGGTATACACATAAATGAAATAAAAATTATACAAATGAAATAAAAAATATTCTTAAATAATTTTATACCTCAATTTTCTATTGGAAATGGGTGATCCTTATAATTCAAATGTTCCGGAGCCTAAAAAAGTAGGTGTTTGGGCTGAAGGAACACATATCGAGGCGAAGTAATTTCATTTTCATCATTTTATTATTACCTGTTATTTCTTATCCTTTGTTTTATCATTAAAATGTGTTCTCTTCAAACAGAGAGTATGTGATACCAAAAAAATCACCAGAATCCAGTGACGATATACCCACAATACCAGATTTAGATGATCTGCAAGATATATTGGAAAAAGAAATTTCTATGCCATCGACGTAAGTAAGACGTATTATTTTATTTTTTAATAATAACAGTAATCACCTGCCTAAACCTAAGTGTAACCATTTACCGACAGCTTATTCGGTAGTAAGTGCTATCACCTATAAAAATCATATGGGTATATCTTCAATTACATTATAGGAAATGAGTTTGTAAATTATTTATCCTCATGGTGTCTAGAGGACATTTTGGTTGACTTATATTTATGGAATGTCAATGTGAAAAAGACTATTTTCCACGTTTGGCCTCTCATTTGGGCTGTTGTGCGTATGAGTCGTGGCTAGTACAGCCAACCTGGCTCCGCCCAGAAGCGTAGAAGCTTCCTGGGTTCTTCATAGGCCTTCCAGAGCGACCTCACCATTCCGAGAATTTCTAAACATTGATTGGCCATAGCCTCACATTCCAGGATTACGTGAGCAGCCGTTTCTTTGGCATCGATACTGTCTCGACATAGAGGGCTGTGTGTGGTGTATTTATGGTTATATTTATGGATTAAACTGTCTCTACCTGTCCCAATATAGAATGGGTCACACATTTCTTTACTGTGGGCGTCACGAGAGGTGACTAGGGGAACAATAGTAGTCAAAGGATCGGCAGCATTGTTTCTTTTAAAACATCACCAAAACATACCTGCAGTCGCCAACCCTCTTGCTAAACACAACTACTGACTAAACCAAAATATGTGTGGGAGACCTTTATCCTGCAGTAGATAATTAACTATTAATATAATAATACTGTCTCTATATATGCTTTAGAACATTGCATGTCAAGCTATTTTTCCTGACAATATTAATGTGAAATTAAGTTTGTTTGTTACCTTATAGTGTCTTAACAGCTTGACTTATCACTATGAAATTTGGTATACCCATATTATGTGGGATGGAGAAAGAATAAGATACATTTTATTTTTTTCAGTGAACATATGTTTTGTGGACAAAGTCACTGATAAAAGTTAGTTAAAATTAAAAACTGTTAACTTTAAAAAATATCAATCTCAAATCTATACCTTGTCTATGACAGAATTGCAGTAGTTTCTACTAACCCAAATTATATTTTCAGCACTGATCGTAAAGATAAAGAAACTGTGAATGCCTTAACAGAAGTTGGGGGAGGGCTCAGCAGTTCAGCTGAAGGTGTGGAAGCAGCATTGGAGGTGTTGATGTCGTATGTACCACATGTGGAATTGGATACAGCAGATGCTGTGTGGACTGTTGATTCATTGCTGACTCAGTTAGCTGACGAGAATCAGGAAACTTCGTCTCAGTAGATTATGTTGGACCCATACTACTGGCAATATGTGGTATTTTTTTTATGTATAAAAATGGAATCGTAACCCCGCCTGCGCTAACGGAATACACTGGCGGAGCACCAGTCAAGGGTGATAGATGAGAATGAAAACAGGCCAGTTAGCCCATCATGATGAATTCATCAAGAATTAACCATGATAGTTTCCAGGGGGAACCGCAAGGAGGTCGACCTGGTTGGGTATATTGCTAACAATGGGATTCTCAGTCTCCATTACTAACAATCCCTTTCCCCCCAATATGTGGTATTCACAAGGTGGACTCACAAACTGGTAGTATAACAAAAATTTAAATAGCTATGTAGAGGTCTATTACTTTTAATTTATTTTATAAAAAAAGCTAATACAAGTATACAAGTACTTATAAATTGCTAAATTCAGTTCCGTCCATACTTTTTATTATACAATTGGGAATGGTTTCTCACTTAAATATAAAGTAATAAATATTTTTAAATTACACTGATGTTTTTTTTTTATTAATAATTGTGAATTCATATTGACTTTTGTACATAATTATATTGCATTTATATGAGGTATAAGTAATTTATTAAAAACAATTTATGATATTTCCTCGTTTTGATTATAGCATGGTGCGTAAACAAAAGTTACTTTTTATTACCCATGTTATTAATGGACAAGTGCTAAATAAATATTAAATTATCACATAGTTTACTGTAATGAACTTATAAATCAATTTACTTCATATATTTCATTGACAACATTAGTGAATTACTTCATACATTTATGTAATATATTACATGCAGACCTGTATAGGTTATTAACAATAGAACATTATTTACAGATACAGTATCCAGTTTGTTTTCTAATCTCAACTGACATTTGATATATCTTTCACAAATTTTAGAGATCTTTACATTCTATTGTATGAGTATTACCATATATAATATTTTAAACATCTTTAGATATCTTTAGGCATAGATATTATTATAATTGTTAATTATATATTAGGATTAAACGATGGTTATGTCACAAAATTCATGAAGTTATTAACTTCTTTAATTTGAATGGCTGCCATCCACTGAAGTTAGTGATTTTTCTAAAGTCATGGTTAAAGAGACACTGGTGTATTGTTGTCCGTTTTTCGACTATTGATGGGTATTAAACTAGGTACTATCGGCCTAATAGCATAATTTCAAAGTAAGTAGAGCTTTATATAACATGTTATTTGTAGGATCATGTGTCTATTTAAATAAAATAGTCCTGTTTGTACATTTCTAATCAGCCCCAAAGGTTATTATCGAATCTTTATTAATACAGTGAATTACATCCAGGAATATTTGTTTAACCACTTAAGCACCACGAACGAGACCCTCTCGCCCATCAAATGTGTTCCGCTTTGCGCTATCCCAAATACCTCTCGCCATTTATAAATATTATGTTTATATTTTTATCTGGAGTGATACCTTCTCGTCAGTTTGTATTTCATAGAGCTTAGTGTATATTTATTGTATGCTCGGTCGAATTAAGTGTGTGCGCCAGTGCGCCAGTTGACCTCATTTCACAGAAAAACCCTCGCATTAAGTGGTTAATTAGTTAATTACGATTGTCATGTTACACATTGATTAAAAAGGTCATATTACATCATGTTATACATCTATGTCCTCCTAAAAGTCTGTATGAAACTCTTAAATGTGCCCCCGGCTGATCTATATGCAATTATAGCTGTTATTATTAATACTATATACGAGGGGAACAATGTGGCTGCATACAGTTGTCTGCGATTTAATAAACTTAAAACTGAAACAAAGAAATGTGTTATGATCACCCAGAGGACTTTGAAATAGTTCTTCTCATCTAAACCACTGAAGAATATCACACTCCAGAACGTGTTGAGCAGGATCATGCAGAGTGTCATGGCCGCACTTGTAACGAAGAAGTATTCCGTACCACTCTGCAGTCCCAATGTGCCTGGACCAATCTGGGAAACAATGAAAAAAGAATTTGCAGAATTAAAAAAGCAAATTTTAGAAAAAAGATTTCAAAATTGCAAAATAGTTTATTAGATATTATCAGAGTATTTAGTATTTTTTACCAACATCAAATAGATATCTCTATTATATACTCTACAGTATTTTTTAAGTATATTTTTTTATCTGTGTTACACAGTAGTACAAGCATTTTATTTTCTTTTTAATTAAATGGGTAGATTTTCAAGATGATCCCAAACTGTAAACACAAGTTTATTGTAAAAAATATCAGTCTATATCTAAAGTAAATTATCCTTACCGAATCTGCTAAAACATTAACAAGTGCAAAAGCACCACTCATCATTCCAAATCCGAGTCCGGAAACATAAGCCATTTCAAGTTTATTTGTGCCAATGTCGTGATTCTCTGATATCTCCTTTAGACCAGCTTCTGTCTTTCGTAACAGGCGATACATACCATAGCGGAATGCTTCCTGGAATATTTCAATAAAGTATTACAATTAATACATTCAATAATTTAGAACAAGACTAAGTAATGTAATGAAGATGATTCTAATATTCTCTCTCAAACTTTTAAAATACTATGTCAAAAAGTGTGCAGTAAGTGTTTCAGGGAATTTGGGGCAATAAGGATTGGTAGTTCAAGCAAGAAGTCTTTATATCTGCCCCTGTAGACAAGTTTTTTAAATGGATAATAATGTCATTACATTACCATTGTAACCCCACCAGTGTTAATGTTATATGCTGGCAGGGCACTAGTGAGGAAGATAGGCAAGGTTGAAAAGGCAGGTTAGTTAACCCATCGTGATAAATATACCTGAAATTCAGCACAATGGTTTCTAGGGAGCACCATGTAGAGGTTGACCTGATAGGGTATATTGCTAGCAATAAGACTGGCAGTTTCCCTCTGCATGTGTAGACAAGTTTGAAACAAATCCGTTAAAGAATCATTATCACTAATGAGTTCAGTAGATAGATAGTGACATCCTCAGTGTCTTGTGTCATGGGAGTGTTAACTACAATGACAATATTCATAGATTTGTTTGTCATTTCTTTAGGGAGTTGGTAATATACAAAACAAAATTATTAATAGCTCTTATCTATATACATTATCTAGGAGGCTCAATATGGCATACATTTAATGTATAATTTACCTGAAATATGATTGCAAACACCATGCCAAAGGCCAAATATGAACGTAGTGGCACAACGGCATACCACACCACAGATGATAGGAGAAATGATAGTAGCCATCCAAATGCTGCTGCTATCATGATTATAATTCTCACTGGATCGTTGGCCACTGTCATCGAGAACATGGCCAGAGGAGCGCCGAAGGCGAGCAATGAACAGCTGAAAAACTCTGCAAGAGTCATCCTGAACTCTTTCACGTATAGAAAAATACGATAAGCCCAAACTTGCTGCAAGGCAGCAAAGCTATCACGTAAAATAGTTCATTAAATGTTGAACATTACAATACATTTGTAGAAAGCTATTATTTGATTCAGTGTTGATAGATGATTAATAATGAATCACTTTTTATTTATAATTGTAACAATAAATAATTATTTTATTTATCTAGATAGGTGGGTATATGAAATGACGTTTCACATTGAGTGACATTGACATTCAAGTGACATTAAATAACTAGGGATATGTACACTCGTAAAGTTCTATCTAAGCTCTATACAGATTTATTGACAATTTTGACATTTCATACTAACCTATAGAAATATTACCATACATATAAACAAAACGCTTACATCTTATAATTTATATTTGTGATTTTTATAAACTATTTATGATACCTATTAAGTAAATATGCCACCGAAACAAGTAAAGAAAACCTTGTGGGTTGACTGTGAACGTTGTGGATGTTGCATAACCTCAAACGACAAAAACGCGCATGTAAATTTAAATTGCGAAAAAGATCAATTAAAATGTCCATATATAGAAGAAAAAAAGTTACACTCGTGGCTAGTAAGAGGCGGGCCTCTACAGGAGGGTGTGCCGAGGAGTTCTGTAATGATACACCCTTCGGCTGGTTCATTGATTGGTGCTGTAATTGGTGGCGCTCTCCAGCTCAGCAGGGAGGGCGCGCCGACCCTCGTGAAGCGGATGTGGCCGTCTAAGACTGCAGCTCCGGCTGCTGTTATTTTACCAGCTGCAGGTAATGTCAGTGAAACTACTGGGAGACCAAAGCATAATACGGGGAGAGAAGTGATTGTTAGTAATGGGGATTAGTAGCTCCATTACTAGCAATAAAGCCTGTCAGGTCGACCTCCTCGTGGTTTCCCCTGGAAACCATCATAATTGATTTATTGTTAGATTCTAACTGTATGACTTAGGCTAACTGACCTATTTCATCCTCACATATCCTCACTGGTGCCCAGCCAGTGTATACCGATAGCGCAGGCGGAGTTACCATTCCATTAAAAAAAAAAAAGCATAATATGTAAAGAACAGTACTAACATACTTGGCTAGTGTGGTAATAAGGGGGTAATATCCTCTTGCGAGATTTGTACATGGCAATGAGATGTTTACTTTTTAATCACCACAGTTGAATTGGGGCAGAAGGGTTTGTTAGTAATGCCGAATACTAGTCCCATTGCTAGCAATATACCCTATCAGGTCTATCTCCATGTGCCCTCCCCCTGACCCCTCCCTCATTGTTCTGAATTCCAGGTTTATTCATCATGATGAGCTATATTGCCTTTTAATTCTCACTTATCATCTCTCCTTGGTATCCCATCAGCATATACTATTAACACTGGCATAGCCAATCCATTGACATGTATTAAAAAATAAGTAAAAAAATCCACACTTGCATTTGTCTGACAAAGATTTTCATAGTTGTAGTGGTATTGTCAGATTTGCTACTTTAATTGTTTACTACTTTACCACAATAATAATATAGAACAAAAGTCTATACTATTTTAAAAATTATTTGTCAAACACAAACACACACACACACACACACACACACACACACACACACACACACACACACACACACACACACACACACACACACACACACACACACACACACACACACACACACACACACACACACACACACACACACACACACACACACACACACACACACACACACACACACACACACACACACACACACACACACACACACACATATATATATATATATATATATATATATATATATATATATATATATATATATGAGTTTGACAAATAATTTTTATATACTAATAATAAGTACTTTATTTTTAAGTGATTTATTACATAGTTTTTATTATATCATTGTTTCAGATTTAACTGGTGCTTGGTGTAGTGATAGCAAAAAAGTCACTGTTTCAGTTGTAGAGGGGACAATTCCTGAAGCAACACGAGTTGTAATTAAAATCAAGAATTATAAATTAGAAACTGACATTTGTGATATTTTAAAACAACATTTTCTCAATAATTTTGTTAGTATTGGTACTGTTTTGGTTTATTATTACTTTGGTAAGAAATTAGAGATTGAAGTGATTGATGTAAGATCTGAGAAAGTGGACGGAATGAATGAGACATGGTGTACTTTATGTGAAAGTACTGTGTGGACTATAGAGAAAGATGCCACTCAAAAGGTTAAAAAGAAACCAGTATCTTTAGGAGGTGTAAATGATATTTTAGACGAAATACAAACATTTGTGAATATTTCATTTAACAAAGACGGCTTGACTGCCAACTTCCAACCCACAAGAGGTTTGCTCATACATGGTCACTCTGGAATAGGGAAAACTGCAATTTGTAAATATTTAATAGACAATTTGAATTGCTATCACATTGAAGTTAATGGTCCCAGTATATTCAGTAAATACTTTGGTGAAACAGAAGCCACAATGAAAGGATTATTTACAAAGGCCATAGAAAATGAGCCTAGTATAATTTTAGTAGATGAAATCGAAACTATATGCCCTAGAAGATCTTCAGGTAGTACAGAGCAGGAGAGAAGAATTACATCAGCCTTTGTAGCCCTCCTTGACAGTTTGCACGAAGAAAACAATAGGGTCTTTGTTCTAGCAACCACTAGAAAACCTGATGCTATAGATCCAATGTTGAGGAGATTTGGAAGATTAGATAAAGAAATAGAAGTACCCATACCAGACAGAATTAGAAGAAAAGAGATTCTATATAGTTTATTGAAGAATCTTCCCAATAGAATTTCTTCACAGGATATAGATGCTATAGCAGATTTAGCACATGGCTATGTTGCAGCAGATCTCGTAAACCTTTGCACCCAAGCATCAATGAAGTGTATAAAACAATCTCGTGATGCCATTGAACATGAAGACTTAATGGCCGCATTAACTGTAGTCCGACCTAGTGCTATGAGAGAACTGTTAATAGAAATCCCTAATGTCAGATGGTCAGATATTGGTGGTATGGATAACTTGAAGTTGAAACTCCGCCAAGCTGTCGAATGGCCTCTTAAACACTCCGCTAGTTTCAAACGGTTAGGCGTAAAGCCTCTAAGTGGCGTGCTGCTCTATGGCCCTCCTGGCTGCTCCAAAACCATGATAGCCAAAGCACTAGCTACTGAAAGCGGTCTTAATTTCTTGTCAATCAAAGGCCCTGAATTATTTTCAAAGTGGGTAGGCGAGTCTGAACGTGCTGTTCGAGACTTGTTTACAAAAGCTCGTCAAGTAGCACCATCAATTATATTCTTCGATGAGATGGATGCGATCGGCGGGGAGAGAGGGGTGGGGGAAGCTGGGGTCCACGAGCGTGTATTGGCGCAACTTTTAACAGAATTGGATGGGGTTGTACCTCTAAATTCAGTAACAATATTGGCAGCTACAAACCGTCCTGATAAAATGGATCGCGCATTATTGAGACCTGGTCGTCTGGATAGACTGATATATGTTCCTTTACCAGATTATGAAACACGATTGCAGATTTTAGAATTGAAGCTTGCTACAATGAGTACAAGTGAAGATGTGAATCCACACAATCTGGCAACAGTTACCGATGGTTTCTCAGGTGCTGAGTTGCAGGCTGTATGTCACGAGGCCGCTTTGCAAGCTTTAGAAAAAGATCTAGATTGCCGAGCTGTTACAATGGAGCATTTTTTTAGTGTTTTGAGAGAGTTTAGCCCAAGAACACCAAAGTCACTATTGAAAGTTTACGAAGAATTTGCTTTGGGACAGAAATCTGGATAACACATTTTTTTATCACACAAGTAAGTATATTTACTCGTATAAGATACTCTACTGTCACATATTATAGTAATATTTATTTAACAATTAATTAACTACTCATGCATTTTGAATTTATAATTGTATAGTTTAACAATATCTTGTACAGTTTAAAAAATAACCGAATCAGATAAATTTTTTGTTTCTACCCTGTATACCCTACATTTTAAACCGATTCCTATTTACATTAAAATGTACATAATAATACATATAATTGACAATGTAATATAATATATTCTAACTACAATTATTGTACGTATGTTGTTTATATAAAGAAAAGTGCCTTGTATTTTATTTCATAGTTTATTCAATTGTAAGAAATCTTAAACTCTAATAATGTATATAAATTAACTATTCTAGTCTTTATTTTTTTAAATACACATGTAACTAAAACAGGTTTTGCACACGATCAGGAAATATCAAACCGATACAGTCACAATGATTATATGAAATTAAAACAATCCTATACAAAAAAAAATGGGCAGCATGGCATTTTGTAGATTATAAAATACAGCTGGTGGGGTGTTGGTAACAAAACTGTGTATTATTAATTAATATTGTTTAATAACATAGATTTGTCAAAATTCTATCGCCAGTGAGTCGAACAAAAAACATTTAAGTAAACGATTGAGAAATTGCTTCTCTTGCATAATTTGCAAATAAAAGTTGAAATAATTATTTGTGTTCATAAAGATAATACCAGAAAGTATATACTGTTAAAGTCTATGAAAGGTAGTCCTGTTATTATGTATATTTGGTGATACAATCCAATATAAAATAATATTTTATTAAATTAAATATTCACATTTCCTTTTAAAGTAAGTAATAATAAAAATTTGTTATAAAAATTTTGTATCTTTACAATATTAAATGCAGCTTTGTCGAGAAAAGAGAATAAATAACATAAAAAAGTTGCTATTATACAAATAGCATATTTTCTAATATTTATTAGATGGACAAGAGATTTACTGAATTTGCGTGAATTTACTGGGTACGGAGGAATAACAGCCGAGTCCTCAGGAATGGCAACGCATGGGGTGTATCATGGGCGAAACAGTATACTCTGTTATGTCCATGGTACTGCTCATGTCTATAGGCGACGGTTACCACTTTCCATCAGGTGGGCCGTCAGCTTGTTTGCCATTCTAAGTTGCATAAATAAAATTACATTGGAAGAAAAGGAACCGACGTCAGTTGAATTGTCTTTTATTACATTTAGTGATGCTTTAATTCTGTTTTTGGTTTGATGTTTATGTACTCCTCAAGTCCATGAGTGGTTACTATCACTTATATGCTTATTTGTAACATATCTTATTACACAGATCTTTTTTTAGGATTTCATCATGACTATTAATTTGTGGCTAATGAAATAGATACAAAGAGATATATTAATTATAGTTTATGGGAACAAATGATCATGACGAATTCACTTTCAGTCATTCGATACAGTCTTCAAGGCGATGATAAATGATAGTTTAAAGGCAAGAAATGTGTAAAATGATTTTAATGTGAGATTTGGATCATTTCATGATCGATTTTTAATTTAAAAATTAACAAAATGACTTAATAAATCCATGGAATCAATTTTATTTGTGTACTATTATTTAATTCTATTCTATGAAATCAATACTGATAAGTCAGCGTCAGTCAATTGCATGGAAGTTTATCATCAAAAATTGTCGCTATTTGTGGATATTGATACATATTAAGTTTGTGATGTTACACATTAGGCGAACTTATCGGTATATTTATATATTTATTTGCTAGGTGGAGAGGCCTGACTTCTTAAAACTAGGCGTATATGTACTCTCAGGTATGTTCATGCAAACATTGTAAGCTTAGCTTGCATCCTGGGGCGGACATGATCCACCTGGCGTAAACACGTCCATGGTTAAGTCAATCAAAAACGAGTAAAATGTACGTGAAATAGGTTTGGCACTCGATTCTTTCTGCCTACTCCAGAAGGGACCTGGCGTGAAGATAGATATAATCCTCAGGAAATAGGTACTTTCTTGACGAGCACCATAAACGAAAATTTGGGTCGATTTTGATGCGCCATTCTCAAAACTTGTGCTTGAATTTATAATAGACGGCATGGTAAAGGTAGATGATAACTTCTTTCTAATTTGCCCTATGTTATTGGTTAGAGAAAAAAATATACTTTCGTTTAGTGAAGGTTTTATAGAAAACGACCAATTCCCTATAACTACAACACCATTATCCATAGTAATATTTTAGATGCTAACAATAATTGCTGGCAATTTTTTCTTTTTTGCTACCGTCATAGATAAGAATAAACTTCCGTTTCCTTTAAATCTTATTAAAAAGCATGATAAAAGGAAAGTTACTCAAGTTATTATACCTATTTCCATCTGGCAACACTAAGTTGCGTGTATTTGGGAACAGTCAACCAGAGAACAGTTCAACAAAGTTTTATACCTGCAAGAATCGGCAGCGGGCTCCTAGACTATAGAGAATGGCGTTATATTTTCATCAACCAATTAGGAACATTTATAACCAAACAATAGGGTCTAAAATCGGATGACATGGACATATTCATATTAGACGCGCAATATCTCTGTATGACGGTTATAGCAAATGGCGATCCAGTCCGGCTGGGTGGCCCCCCACTGTATCTGGTTGACCTCGCCCTCGGCGGCGGTGTACGCGAGTATCGGGTCCTCGATCGCTCGAGGCATTTGCTGGATGTCCCATATCAATGCTTGGTGGTCGTCTCCGGCCGTGCAGATGTGGCAAGAGCTATGGAAGAAAAATAGACAATATAGATTAGAGGAAAATAGGAAGAGATTTTATTTATATAGACTTTTATACAACTTAGAATGGCAAACAAGCTGACGGCCCACCTGATGGAAAGTGGTAACCGTCGCCTATAGACGTGAGCAATGCCATGGACATAACAGAGTCTACCGTTTCGCCTATGATACCCCCCATGCGTTGCCATTCCTGAGGACTCATTCCTCTGTACCCTGTAAATTCACTGTCATATCCCACCCTTCAAACTAAAACACAGCCATGCAAACACAACTGCTTCACGGTAAAAACACGAATGAGACAGAGGTGCCCAAGCAAACGAGTTTTGTACAAAATATCCCTCCGGTAATATTATTTATAAGCAGTCGAGGTTTTTCCAAAAGACTATAACAAGGGGTTCATAAAAAAAGGGATAACGAGGTTTCTTCAGATAAGCAACACGTGTAATGCCCCTGGTGTTGCAGGCGTTTATAGGCTACGGTAACCGTTTACCATCAGGTGGGTCGTTTGCCACCTCAGTGGTATATAAAAAAGCACTATTAAATTAAATTTTTTTATGACTGTTGGGTTTGGATTTTGGACAGTCACTCTCTTTGTTTTTCTGCAACTTAGTATGGTAAACAAGATGATGGAACAACCACCTGATGGAAAGTGATAATTGTTCCTTACATATATATTTGATACTGGTCAAATCTATATATAAGCATTACTAACAAACCCGTTCCGCTATTTTTAAATTGAAAAAAAAAAAACACCTGCTTCGAGCCTTATCATTTCTAACTGGTACTTCAACAGCGAATACCGATCGGATAGGTGGGGATACCGTTCCATAAAAATCATACGACACGAGAGGGGCAGGCAGAGGATTGTTGCGGCGGTCCTGCTTGCGTACCTGTGCGGCGCCCAGGCGATGCCGTTGACGCAGGCGCGGTGGTTGTTGAGGCGCGCGACGGGGGTGCAGGGCACGCGCACGTCCAGGATGATCACCTCGCACGCGTCCATGGCCACCGTCGCCAGGTAGTTGGGGTCCTGCTTGTTCCACGCCAGCCGCAGCAGCGGCGTGTGCTGCGGGTCCTGGGCCAGAGCGCGTTTCAGTTATTCCTTTTATTCCAGTATTCCAAAATCATTTTTGCCATGCAGAATAAATGTGGTACCATACCTGATACCATCAAGAGACTACCGACTAAACCGTCTTTAAAAAAAACGTTTATGCTCACTTTTTTACTTTATCCGAGCAGTAAGTGCTTTATATTATTCTCAATTTCGTGTATAATATAGTATATGTCATATATGTGTAAGTATATTTGTTATTTATATATATTTATTCGTTTATATATGTAATTTTAGTATGTATGTATATCAATAATTACTAGTACCGCATTCGAGTATTCTGACACATCCCTACGGTTGACTGGGAGAGAACGCTTTTAGCATAAAATCCGCCATGCACACATATATGTACTAATGAATAAATAAATAAATGTGGCATAGTATTGTTTGCAAATGATACTTTATTCATTTTTAAGGTTGATAGATTATGACGATGTAAATAATGCTTTGCTGCGAATCCTCAGGAATGGCAACGCATTGGGGGTATCATGGATGAAACAGTATACTCTGTTATGTCCATTGTACTGCTCATGTCTATAGGCGATGGTTACTACTTTCCATCGGGTGGGCCGTCGGCTTGTTTGCCGTTCTAAGTTGTATAAAAAAAATATGATATTAATTTAGATAACTGGTTGGTCGGTAGGTGTGTGACGCAGTGTGTACCTCGTATATGATGGTGGAGTGCTCGAGGTGCCGCAGATCGAACATTCGCACGGAGCCGTCGGCGCCGACCGACGCGAACATGTCGCGGCCGCCGCCCGCGCGGCTGAACGCTATGTCGTACACCTCCTGCGGCCGAGGGGGGGGGGGGGGGGGTCGTATGAGACAATTGCTACAGAGCTAGTGGGTGACATTGTACAAGTCATCTGCATGTGGGTGGCAAAGAGCATGAGGGTTGATGGGGCAAGAAGGAAGATTTTTTTAGTAAAAGGAGCTGCCCAATCAAGTTCAACTTGAGTTCATATCAAGTGGAGTTCAATTCAATAAGGAAACCACATTAATGGTTTCCCTTGGAAAATATGCTTATTCTAGGTGAATGAGTAAAGACGGGTCAATTGATCTGTTGATCCTCATCTATCATCCCTCATTAGCACTTGGCTATCTTAAATCAATAGGGGTGGCGGGTTGGAGTATTTAATTTTGGTCCTTCGAGCCAGATATAAATTAGTTTTACCGGTTTTCTTCCTAAAATAAAATTTATATATACTGTTGTTTTACTTAAGAGATTGAAATGGTCAGTATAATTAAAAATATATAATGGTTAAGTATTAGTAACTATTTGTATTGGAGATATTATTATGTGAAACACTTTTTAAGATTAGGGTATGATGGGGCTGACATATCTTTATAAAGATAAAAAAAAAAATAAAGAGATATTACTATCTATGTTGTCTTTTAAAAAAACATACAACAACAAACTCTTTGCTATCACACAGAAGAAATAAAAAAGTATGTATTTTATATATATGAATAGCATATGAATCATACCAAACCCTGAGAAGAGAGAGTAAGAGCACATACCTTGTCATGAGCAATCAATTGGGTTTTCACATGCCCCGACACCTCGTTAACTCTGCCGAGCACCTGTCCTGTTTCCAGGCCCCAAATCGTGCAGGTGGTGTCAATGCTACTGGTCCCAATGAGGTTCGGATCCACCTCGTTCCAATCAAAGGAGGTCAGCGGTGCACAGAAGTCGGAATTCTTGTTATTATTGAGCACACATTCAAAGAGAGTGTATGGTTCACCGGCACGCCAGATACGCAGGTAGTCACCTGGACGGTAAAGCTTGGTTTAAACATTCAGGAATGGAATGGATTAGCCCCTCCCTCTAGAGATATGACAAATTAATCTATTGATAGATTTATCATGGCTATTCACATTGAAAATAAGCATATGGCCCAATTAGGCTTATGCCCAAGTGTTTGCAGATATTGTCACAGTGAGAAAGAAACGCCGCAGCATTTAAAATGTGGCTGTAGCCCACTCATAGATTTTTTTTTATACAACTTAGAATGGCAAACAAGCTGACGGCCCACCTGATGGAAAGTGGTAACCGTCGCCTATAGACATGAGCAGTACCATGGACATAACAGTATATATTTCGCCCATGATACCCCCTATGCGTTGCCATTCCTGAGGACTCAGGTGTTATTCCTCTGTACCCAGTAAATTCACGCCATACCCCACCCTTCAAACTGAAACACAGCCATGCAAACACAACTGCTTCACGGTTGAAACACGAATGGGACAGAGGCACCCAAGCAATCGTTGTTACTTTATAGTACAATAACACACTTTACACCCTAACCAATCACTATGAAATTTGGTATACACATTCTATATAAAATTGGCGAAGGACATCTGCGACTTTTATCCTGGTCAATAAACATATCCTGGCCCAAACAAAGTGGTAGATTAAAGTTAGTGTTAATACATAAGTAGGTACTAACCACTTGTAGCAAGCAGGTCAGGATACACCCCTTTGCTGTCAGGTATCCACATGATTTTAGTGGTGGGATATGGGTGATCAAATGTGCTCTTAGCACTGAATTCACTTGTCTCCTCATCTAGTGATATTATTTGTACCTATAGAAAAAAAAAAAAACCCTAAAATAACTGTGCAAAATAATACATTAAATATTTTTAAGTGATGTTCAAAAAAAAGTTTTTTAATGGATGAAAATGGAATGGTAACCCCGTTCCTAAATATAGTATACATTAGCAGCGAACTAGTAAGGGACAATAGGTGATGATGAAAAGGCAAGTCAGTTAGCCCATCATGATGAATATACCTGGAATTCAGCATGATGGTTTCCAGGTGGGACCATGTGGAGGCACTTGATAAGGCATATGGAAATGGGACTGGTACTCCTCATTACTAACAATCCCTCCCCCCCCTGGTGAATAAATCTGGAATTCAGCATGATACCCCAAGGGGACTAAGTGGAGGACGACCTGGTTGGATATATTATAGGCAATGGGGTTGTTAGACTCCATTATTAACAATCTCTTCCCCTCTCAGAAGGATATTTTCATTGGTCTGTTTTCTTTTTATATGTGTTTATACATATTTTTACCAATTCTTAATTAATATTAATAATTCTTTTCGTGATTGATAGGGTGACATATTTAAAATTTCTTCTTTGAAGTTGAATATATTTTAAATTAATTATACAGAATAGAATAGACAGACATAGAATAGTCTTGGGGCCTTACTGGAGTAGAGTGGCAGAGGATAGAGTCCAGTGGAGAGAGCTGGAGGAGGTCTAAGCCAGGAGACACACCGAATTGAGAGATATATTATAATAAGTAGAAAGGGAAAATATGTCTTATTAGGGTTATAGAGAATTCGGAGTAAAAGGCCTTATATATATACAAAATAATTTTAAATTTCAAATAGTATAATAATAGTATATAAAAATGATACCTTATTGTTATATTCTTCAACAAAACTACCGAGGGCCAACCTGAACCTCTTGTCAGGCCGCACCGACCAGTTCATGGAGTATAATGGCCATGGTGCCTGATATCTGTAAGAAAAAATTTATATTGAAGACATATTAAAACATTTCCAATACTTGTGATTGAAATTACAGGACTAAGAATAACATCATATTTATTGGGCAACACATAAGGAGTATGCTATTTGTAACAGTGTATCCATTCTTGTTAAAGTAATAAATGTCTATCTATCTATTATCTGATATCTATGGTGCTATTCATGTCTAGAGATGGTGGTTACCATTTCCCATAAGGTGGCCAGTCAGATTGTTTATAAGTATCATAATAACTTATTATTATTGCACCAGAAATCATTTCATAGATGTGTTTCTTATTAGAAGTTTTTTTACTAATAAAAAAATAATGAAAACGTCCAACGACTCATAATTTATATCTGAGCCGTAATTTATAATGACAGAATATTTCTTACTTGTATATTTCCTTGCGTTTTGTACTAGAACTCGTAGTACTGGAGCTACTATGTGGCATCGACATGGTTCCTGTTTTAAACGCTAACACTGTCGAATTAAACGCTAATATATACAATAACTTTATAATTTAGACACGATTGAACTATTCTATTACATATTTTATTTAATAAACACGTAGTTTGAAAACAAATTACACTCTTATTAAGTTTAAATTTAGATGAAATATAACACGATTTAATATTGCAATGTGCTCTATCGAATGCTTAAATAAGTAATTCCATTATAGGATTTTGTTATATAAATGATAAGTAATAATTAAAATTTAGTGTTATAAAAAAAATTTTTGAATTGGATTTTTCTGTATTTTCTAATAGAAATAAGAATATAAGTATAATAAGTAGGTATAATAAACAAGCATTATTTAGCAAATTGTCAATTTTGACATTGACAATCAAGCATGCGTGACAGTTAATGACATTTCGTTTTCAATGTACTAAGTGATACCATATAATACTTTAAAGAAATTTCCATGTCTCGTGTCTTATTATATTATCTGTGCCCACGATCTTCGGGCGTATTGAAAATTAATCTTCTAAATGAACTGACAGAATTAAATTAATGAACTTATCAATATAATTTATTTATCCAAAAAATCACGAAGTATGTATGAGTAGTAAGTAGAGAAACGTATATTATGCTGACACTAAATAATAAATGGGATGAGGGTAAGAAGATAATGATTTAATAGTAATGATTTAAAAGTAATAGTGATTTAATAGTAAAATTATATTTTTTTACAAGCCAAGACAAGCACGTGTTGAAGAAATATTTATTAACAATAATCGCTAGATTGCAAGTAATCACTATGTAATATACATTTTCATTTCATACAGTATTTATTTGTATTTTATTTGTTTAAAAAATTAAATATAAAAATATATTTGTCTATTATAGTTTAAATATATACCTATATATTTATCTATAAAGAATGACTTAGTCCTAAAACAATCATGCTCTAAAACATTTATTCACAATCATTACCATGCTCACGTGTTTAAACTACACGTTACGGAGGTACAATGTTTGAATAATCTATTAGTAATATCTTTCTTTTTTATTTTTTCGACATTTTGTTTTCGAGATACGATTTTTTTTTTCTTTTTGAAACAAGACTAAAGCAACCACATTCTCTACATTATTTTGATTTTCAAAAATATTTACAAAAATTTTTTTGTACTTTGTAACCTTGTCAAGACGCCTATTTTGATATCGAAATCAGCCACATAATTCTAGAATATACGATACACAGGGCGATATTGCACTTTCGCTGAGAATTGGGTCTATATCGAAGCAATAAAAAGAAATATTTTTAATAAAAAAAAAAAAATTTCATAACTGGTTATTAGAGATGGACAAAATACAATGTTTGGTTTTAATTAAAAGACAAATTACAAAATATTATCATGTCTGTCTGTATTTAAAAATATATATACATATATAATACAAAATATTTGTAAGTCATGTATATGCAGAAATATATTTACTTTTTAAAAGATAAAAAATGGATTTATTTTAAAATATAACTAAAAAAAATTATATAACTCAACGTTAGGTATTTGAAATACGAATTACTTATTACATTTTTAGGAAATAATTAAAATACAAATACCAAATACGTATTTGTATTCCAATTACGTATTCCAAATACAACTAATTCAAATACTGCTTAGCTGTAGTGGCTATTTGGTGTATGAACTCTATGCCGTGACATTTTTACAAAAAAAAAAGTAGCCGTCTAATTTTTTAAATTTTCAACTGATATAAAAAATTCCAGACAAATTATCTTTTTGAAGACTAGGCAGCATGGTCTCCGACCTTAGCCTGTTCCAAACGGAACAAACGTACTAAAAAAAAAAAAATGATATAAAAAAAAAAAACAGGAGCATTAGTAGTACATTTTGACTCTATTATTTAAGCTATATATTTGTTTATTTTAATTAACTTTTAAATATAAGAATACTTTTTCCATGTTTTCTACGTGACTACATTTATGTATATGAAGATATGAATTAGGTTTTTCTAAAACACAAACATTAATTACATATATGAGTTTGCAAAACGGGTGATAACAAAAATAAGCTTAATAAAATACCACTCGTCTGGTGTTGCTACTGATACTGATATGTTACGCTCAACATCAGGCAAATCGTAACCTTGATGGCTTACGTTGTATGAAATACTTCAAAGTTGAATGACTAATAGAGATATATTCAAATAAATAACACTATCCAGCCACGTGAGTCACTCGCGACCTACATACATGAAATGCTCTACATTCGTGTCGTGTACAGAGGCCTTACGATTCAGCGCATGCGCTAAGTCTGTTTAAGGACACCGCTTTCTTTCTTACATCAACGGCCGCTTAGGGACGGTGTTATAATTGCTTGCGCAAGACCGCCAATTCGGAATGCGGGCATTATATTATTTATATTATTCTTTTGTGTGTTATTTGTTGTTCAATATGATTAATAATAAGTAATAAATACTGTATAGATATTTTTATGTTTATAGATATTTTAGGTGCACTACTCTGCAGAATAAAAAAAAATAAAAAAAAATTAAGTTAAACAGTTTTATTGTAAAGCATTATAATGATGCAGATAACGTGCTAAGAGCTCAAAATATTTTTTTTAAAGTGTGAAAATGGAGTGGTATTCTACTTTTTTTTTTTTATACAACTTAGAATGGCAAACAAGCTGACGGCCCACCTGATGGAAAGTGGTAACCGTCGCCTATAGACATGAACAGTACCATGGACATAACAGAGTATACTGTTTCGCCCATGATACCCCCCATGCGTTGCCAATTCTGACGACTCAGGTATTATAAACTACCCCCCATAAGTTTTGATCACGTAGATGTAACCAAATTATTAAAAGATATACTCGTGTTGCAACAGGAGGTTCGAACTGTAAAGGAAACCTGCGCTACAACGGAAGAATTACAGTTGATAAAGAATGAGTTGGCAAATTTAAAATCAGCCTCAATTGTGAATAACTTTGAACCCTCACAATATATAAACACGAAGAGAGGGTGTGCAAATGTTATTGATAATTTTCATTACGACAGTGGACCCATTGGATTGCTTCATATTTCTCAGGAAGAGAAAAATGGAAATATAAATAGCGAGTGCAACATAAATATTCCATCGAAAACGCAATCTAATTGTTTGATAAATAGTACATTAGAAAACGTAAGTGCGAGGGTAGAAGATACAGTACATCAATGCAAACAAAACATAGCAGCGGACACGCAAGTGAGTGCGACCGGTGTGAACATAGCCAATAGTCACAACACAGTCTCCCATCCATTAGTAGTGGAAAAATCATTTGCTTATATTGCTTCTGGCGGAAAATGGAAAAATGGAAAAAAGTCAGAAGATTGGATAGTTGTACAAAGAAAGAAACTCAGAAATAGATTTATGGGGAAAAGAGGACAAGCAAGTACAGAACCGGAGGAAAAATTTCGAGCAGCAGATGTAAAGATACCGCTTTTTATAAATAAAGTTGATAAAAATACTTCCATAGAGGACATATCTTCATATATTTTGCAAAAAACTAAGGTGTCTGTAGCGCTAGAAAAAATTTGCATGAAATTTCAGAAGGAATATGATGCGTATAAAATATTTGTACCGCAAAGTAAATTATCTATATTTATGGATGCGGGTCTATGGCCTGATGGAATTTCGTTTCGTCGGTTTGTTACTTTTAAAAAGACATCTGGTAATGATGACAAGTTTTTAAATACAAAATAACAATGCATAATAGAACACTAACTTTGATATCCTTCAATTGTAAATCAATGAAAAGATCGGTAGAATGTATAAAATCTTTATGTGAACGGGCGGATATAGTCGCATTGCAGGAAACTTGGCTTCTACCTCATGATATACATATTTTAGGTAGCATTCATGATGATTTTGGATATTCTGGAAAGTCTGCTGTGGACACATCAGTAGGCATTCTTCACGGTAGACCGTTTGGTGGTGTCGCAATATTGTGGCGGAAAAGTGTTTTCAGGTCAGTGTCGGTGATTAAATGTGAAAGTTCGCGAATAATAGCAATTAATGCAGAGACTAGTGATAAACAAATGGTTATTATGAGTGTTTACATGCCCACAGACGATAGTGAAAATTTAACAGAATTCACTCACTGCTTAGGCGAGATCTGTGCAATTGTTGAGAATAATGACTCGCAGACTGTATTTATTCTTGGTGATTACAATGCGCACCCAGATGGACAATTCGGTAAGGAGCTTTTACATTTCTGTACAGAACAACAGCTGATTTGTGCGGATATAGAGAAATTAGGTTTGAATTCGGATAGTTATACTTTTATTAGCGATGCACATGGGACAAAAAGTTGGTTAGATCATATTTTAGTAACACAAGCTTCTTGGAAGTCTATTACAGAGATAAATATACTTTATGATATATATTGGTCTGATCATTTCCCTATTCAAATAAAATGTAACATAAATATATTGCAATCAAAAATAGCAATAAATGGAAGACATTGTAATAAAATATTGTGGGGAATTAGAGACTATGAACAGATACAATTATATAATAATTATTGTAATAAAAAGTTAAGTGAAATTGAGTTCCCATCTGAGCTTGCTAATTGTTGTGATAGAGAGTGCAGTGATCCTATTCATAAGACCATAATAAACCAATTATACAGTAATATAGTAAATACATTAGCAGAAGCTGCAGCTCGAAGTCACGACAGGCCTGTTGGGCGGCGAAGATGTGTAACTGGTTGGAATAAATATGTAAGGGAGGCACATAATGAGGCTAGAATAAAGTTTTCGATATGGGAATTATATGGTAAACCAACTGAGGGTATTATGTATAAAGAAATGTATGAGAGTCGTAAGAGATTTAAAAGTAAACTAAAATGGTGTCAAAATAACCAAGACCAAATAAAAATGGATATAATTGCTCTTTGCCGCTCCAGAAGTGACTTTAGTAGGTTTTGGAGAGCGACAAATAGTCTTAACGGTAAAACTAGTTTTCCTGTAAATATTAATGGTATTAATTGTCCTAAACAAATAGCTAATATGTTTAAAAATAATTTTAGAGTAACATCTCCTTTAGGTCAACAAAACTTACAGTCGACTACAAATGTTTGTAGTAAAAAGATAGTAGGTCAAATGCATAATTTTACATGTAAAGATATTGAATTTATTATAAAGAACATGAAAAGAGGAAAGTCCCTGGGCATGATGGCCTTAGTATAGAGCATTTTCAGGCAGCTGGGGACCATTTGCCCAGGGTGCTCTCAATGTTATACACGTTTTGTATTGGGCATACATACCTACCAGAGGATATGTTGAAAACGATTGTTGTACCAATACTTAAGA